CCCCCCCCCCCCCCTAGCGACGGCCCTGGGATCAAATGAAAATCTCTTTATTTTGAGCGGGTTGAAGTACAATAAAGTGTTTTGTACGAAGCAAAGTTATATAGAGAACGTGATTGTGGTTTTGTCCCATACCACCAAGAACCAAATATCAAAACACAATGGCTACAACACCGGTCGATACTCCTACACAACCGTTGACCATGGATGAGATTCTGCCATACATCGGAGAATTTGGAAAGTTTCAGATTCTTCTAGAAGTTGCATTTTGTGTTATGGTAATTCCAAGTTCAATGCTCATACTCGTCCCGTACTTTGCGCAAGACAGTCCTCCATGGACATGCCTTTTAAACAGTACAGTTTGCCGTCTTAATGGAACGTTTGATTCTTATAGCCGATTCTATCAATACCGATGCAATATGCCGAGGTCAGAATGGGAATTCACCAAGCAAAAAGAATACTCAATAGTCACACAGGTAAATCTTAACCAGCTCATTCCTACTGAACTCTAATTCAGAGCAACTGTGTTAGTTGTTCCAAATGTAGAACAGAATAATATCATGTTTCCATTTCTTGTGTTTGTGATGGTGATGGTGAAAGAGGGTTGAAGTCCAAATTTTTTATTTGAAACCCATCAAAATCAATAGCTCTGCACTTAACATTGTGTAGCAGTTTATGCGAGTGGATAGTTTCATTCGTTCTAGAAGCAATTTAAATTTCTTTTGATGATCAAAAGCAAAGGGTGTTCCATGGAAACTGCGATCAGGCGAGATGGCATTAACTAAGTTATGATTATCATTCTATTATTGATCTAATTACAGTAGGCTGATACATTTACATGTTAACAATACATATGCAAGATTAGATTGATACTTAGAATTGGATAAATAAGTTTTTGATACTGCAAAATTTGATGGGGTCACGAAATAGTGGAAACATAGCTAACTTAAGTACATTTCGTCAGACACTCTTCACAATTTAAACATCGAATAATGATCCAAGCAGTGACACCGTGGAAGGGAAGGGGGCTCGAGGGGCTTAGCCTTCCATGTTAAAATTGGGGGAGATGTGGGAGGGGCAGCCAAGTGTGTAGCTAGCCATATAGCAGTGGTCATCCTCTCAAATTTCCATAATGTAGGTGTGGCCAACCTCTGCCACTTATGAGTTCCTTTTGAGTAAAAAAGTTTAAGGCTTCTAACTAATGAAAAACAGTCTGATGAACCTTTGGAATGAGCTTTTCTTATTACTAAGAATTTATCTTGTTTCATCACAAAATGAACTTGTGTCTTATAGCTGTGACGCTGATTTGGTTTGTTGGTATTTTCTGTACTAGACAAAATTCTGACATAACTAAATAGAATTTTCAGGAAGCCGTTAATAAACATTAGTTCAGTATAGTAGGTAAGTTAGTTTGAATCAAGAATTGTGTTGTTTTCCTAATTTCTTTCAATTTGGAGCTTAAGTTTATTTGTAAAGTAAAGGATTTCTAATGATTTTTAGATAAAACAATAGAATTTTCACAAAAGGTGTACGAGATTTTCTTGGGGTGATTTGCCCCTCGGAATAGAAATCTTTTGGTCATTATTTCCACAAATAGTATTCTTAACAATTTATGATTAAAACTATCATGATGAACTAACAACCCCAATAGAAATAACAGATGAATAAACCAAACTTGCCAATTAGTATGCAACATCAATTTTCATATGGAATGTAGCAAACTAAAATAGTGGACAGGCCGAGTTGCAAAACTTTTTCTGCAAAGTTAGACTTAATTGAAATAAACCTTGCAAAATTAGTTTAGCTAAACAGAAGCATTGATGTTTTCACATGCTTGTGGTAAACATACACATGATTCCCCATATCCACATATCCACAGTAGTCTTTTTTTATCATGATTTCCCTTCAATAATTTGTTGTGTTTCTTAACAGCTTGAGTGGTTTCATCTACCCAACAGAGAACCTTTAACACAAATGCAACTATATTGGTTGTGGCTATGGGCGTAGTCCTGGATGTGACTTTTAGAAACTCCCTACAGCAAAGCCCCCTTTCTAACTTTTTTGGACGGGATCCCTGACCAGAAGTGTGCTGAATGTTTATACCCAGGTGTTGATTGAAAGTAACGTGAGAAGAAAAAGGACCCTGTTTTTTTGTATTTGACCAATCAGCGATTAGATTGACATTTTAATTGACAAGTCACTATCTTGATTGGTGAATAAACCGGCAATAATTTCCATTCAATTTCATGAGACTATTTCGTAGCCAGTCAATCGTGGCAGAGGTATCATAGGTTAAGCCTTCTAATAATAAATTCATGCTTGCGATCCAATAAATGAACGATGGTGTCATCTCCACAGTGGCATATTATATTGTCTCTCACAAAGATAAACGTTTACTTGTTTATCTAGACATTGAGCAAAACTGACCCTTGTAGAGATCCTTGAGGTACACCCAAAGGTGGTCTCTTTCCTTGTGGTACACTCAAAGGAGCTTTAGTATCCATCTACTTCTGCTCGCTGTTTTTTCTCATGATAGCGACTATGAGTAATATTCAGCCCTTTCTTGTGAAACCATATGCACCAAGTTTGGCAATTAGCAGATCACGATTTATACAGGTACTGTTTCCAGTTTTCAATTATTCGCAATAAAGCGTGCTTGGTGCTGCAGTTCTCTATAAAGCTGCCTGATAAGAGGTTAAGAAAGCAGTAAGCGAATGGCTTCATTTCAGCTTCTGCTATCCCCTCATATACTTTTGAAATGATTGGTAGTAGTGTGATTTGCCTATTGGCCTATATCAGAGAGGGTGTCACTCTTCGTGAAAATTGAAGTAATGTCGAGAAGTACTGCCAACCATGAGTACAAAATGGACATGTAACTTAGGGTCAAACTAAAGATGTTGCAAATAAGCTTTTTTGTTTTCTAAAAAGTGAGATCATTCTGGATCAGGTCTTCGCTATACATTATAGAAGAATGACAAACAGCCTGAGCGCAGTTGCGAATTAAAGGGGGGGGCAACTAGGGGCAGTTGCCCCTCCCTCATCGAGTTGAAGCAAGTCTGGCACCTCACTTTGGAAATTGTGAGCCTCTGTTGAAGAATGAGAATCACGTGAAAATGTTTCTGAGAATTGTAGGTTAATTTACTTCAAGGATTACCTCAAAGTATACAAAATAAACTGCAATAATTTCCTGACAAGGAGAATAGAGAGCCTTCTGCCAGTAGGTAGGGTCTGAAATTGTTCTATACAGCCTACATTCGTCAACAATTTCTGAAAAGTTTCAGCGCCCAAACTACCAACTGCCCCTCCTTCAAATTTGCGCTGGATCCGTGCCCGAGCGAATGAAAAATTGAATGATTTTACGCAAGTAGACCTTTTGAACAATATTATTTGTGGAAAGGTTTAACTTTCATACATATCAATAACAAATGAAATTATTGCTGCAGGTCCACAGTGGTCTAGGTAACCTTTACCCGCCCTCACTCATTTCTGTTGGCCAAGCAGCAATGAATGATAAGTACCATTATGAAAGCTACGATCCTCCAGATTAACTCAGGTTAAACAAGGTCTAGCCAGCAGTACTCTAAAGAACCCGTTTACGCTGAACAATATCTGAACCAGAAAGGTGAGGGCCAATTAAGCCCCTCTCTCATGTTTTTATGCAAACATGAATTTTGAGCAGTGATGCTATTGTTCACAGTTGCCGTGGCAATAAAAGAGTTCTCTTCAGACAACGTCAAATGATTGGCTACCTTGTCAAATGTAATTATTACAATGTTAAAATTCAAAAACTATCTTTAGAAATTGCCAACGTAAGCAGAGTAATATTTTACTTACTAAATAATATTTGATTTGTTTTGATTCATCCTGAATTTCTCAGTGGGATATAGCAAAAAATTACCAAGATTTATGATGTCATTATGAAGTCAATTGAGATGAAAATTTTCCATTTTAGTAGAAGGATATAATCATATATAAATCTTAACCCACTACTACTAACCCGTCTGGAGAAATGACGGGGGAGGGCTAAATTAGCCTGAGGATGCTCAAAAAGCTTGGCCCAGATAGGGTTAACCGAAAATGCGGGCAATTACAAACAAGGTTTTACTCTATACTTCAAATTTAAAATGAACGTTTATTTCAGTTCGATCTGTACTGTGACACTGAGATGTACAGTTACTTGGCCACATCTTCAGTTTTTATCAGCTGGGCATTTGGAGGAGTCATTCTTGGTTGGGTGTCAGATAGGTAAGTAATTGGAAAACTGAATCATTTTTGGTCCACAATGAATCTGATGATCTATTGATTGTAATGAAATGTATGGAAACCTCAGCAGTTTTACGATGTCTGTTTTTTTTCTAACGACCCATTTTCTCGTGCTTGATAAGCGTAGAAAATTTTTGAAGAGAAGGAAATCCTGTGGCAATATAAGGTGTGCCAAATTATTCTCTTAAGCGTGTCCCCAAAAGAAGGAGTGGCCCAGCCATTCAGTCCTATTGTTTTATTCTGTGTTTCCAATACTGCACCAGCCCTTTTCATTATCGCTGTCAATATTGAACATTTTGCTTAAAACTTGGATCTTGTTTTTAGGTATGGTAGAAGAATCAATATGCTGATATCGACAACTTTTATCCTTTTGTTTGGGTTCATCAGCTCGTTCTCTCCAAATATTTGGTTCTACATTTTTGCACGAGCAGTGTTTGGCTTCTTCACACCTGGAACTTATGTACAGTCAATCGTTCTAATTTCAGAATTTGTAGGCCCAAAATGGCGTCCATTTGCGGGTATAGCAATTTCGCTATTATATGCAGTAGGCGTTGTCATCCTTGGTGTTATAGCCATCTTCGTTCAGACGTGGAAAACACTGATGATAGTCATCACAGCTCCATATTTTTTCATCTTGCTGTTTTTCTTGTAAGTTTAATCCATGAAATTTTCTTATTCATTGTCAGGGATCCTTCTTTTTCTTGTCCGTGTGGATTAGCACAATATTAAGCTTAGGGCTAAAGCAAAGATAGGAAGTGCATTGCCGATCTCTGTTAGAGTACTAAGTTTGATGTTTGAAGTTCCAACGACCATTTTTTGTATTGGTTTTCTATTTTGATTTTAGGGTGTACGCAGTTCATATATATTAAACCTGGAATAGGACTGGGCCACTTTTCAGTTTAAGAACAAAAGCTTAGTTCAGTACGTAGATTAGAGAGAGAACAATTGAAATCAAATTTGCCATATAGCAACGGAATATATTTATATATATATATCTTCTTGATAATTCGGATAGTAAAACCAAAGACTAGGGAAGGAAGGAAAGGGTTCCATTTCTACTAAGATACCATCCAGCAATCAAGGCACAACAATCGTGCAAAATATGATACCAGCATGAAACTTCACAACTTATTTACTTTAAGGTGTATAATAAAATGCAGATTCAAGCCGAAAAAGTCCGCTTAAAGCTATTTTTAGAACATTCAATTTGGTTCCAGTCCTCAAAATGAACTAAGTCACTTACGAGCGATTTAATTCAACTCAACTCAGCGGAAAGGTAGAAACTAAGGAGCCTAGTTGAAAACAGTAGAGTCTGCACGCTGGCTACATGAAACAACAAAGCCACACCAAGACTGTTTAATCGAGAAGCAATTGATTTGACTCGTTCAGTTTTAAATAATATCTTTTGATTACTATACAAAGAAACTGGCTGAAGATAAGAACGGAGAGTTGTGGAACAATATTTTTTGAAGGTTTCTTGAAAAACCTGTGTTGACTGCGTTATTTTTTGCCTCAGCTGTTTTTGCATGGCCAGTCAATATTGGATAGACTATCAGACTGTTAATTCTCATAGACTATCCTTAATTTCTTGCAAGGGCCATTCCCGAATCAGCTAGATGGCTTCACGTAAATGGAAGAAATGACGAGGCTCTTGCAATCTTTCGAAAGATCGCTAAGTGTAATGGAAAGGAGCTACCAGAAGTTCAACTGAAGAAGATTGAAGAGGACTGTTCCACCGGAATAAAACATTATCTTTACCTATTCAAGCCTGCAAAAATCGCAACAAGGAGCTTGATCCAAGGATATACATGGCGAGTAAATACTTGTTTGTGATTGTGCAAGATAGAGTGGAGTCGTTGGTAGATATAATAACTGTTGACAGATGGTGATTGATGATGGGGTTTGTCACTAATTATCAGAGAGAGACAGACACAGTTTAGCCAAGTTTACAAAACGCGAAGGAAGATTTCAGTGCGTGTCAATTCTTTTGAAATGTGGAAAAGTTTGTTAGTTAGCCAATTAGCTAAGGTATCTTGTGTGATTGTGTACGTGAAGAAGAAGTAACTCACCACTGCAGTTTTGCTGCAAATTTTAACTACACATAGTTTACTGCTTTTTAGGATGGTGTGTTCCTTGGTGTTCTTTGGAGTTTCATTTGGCGCCGGTGACTTAAGCGGCCACATACTCAGGGACTACATCATTACCAGCTTATTTGACATACCGGCTGCTGTTCTTGCAATATACCTTTGCAACAAGTGAGTTCTATGCCTTGTTTTTTTTAAGGGGGGGGGGGGCGTAGTATTGAAACCTTGTACTTATAATCTGTAAACAGCAGTAGGTCTAATGATGATCCCTGAGTAACTCACTAAACGTGAACGTACCTTATCTTCCAGAATTGGAAGAAAGAAGACAACGATTATTCCCATTTTTATTGCCGGGATATCCTGCATTGCTGTATCCTTGATTCCAAAAAAATCAGGGAGCAAACCATCGGGTAAGTTTTTCACAAAGATTTTCAAGCTGCAGCCATTCTCATACTTAGTTTGCCTCTATAAATATATAAAATGAAAGTGTACAATTCCAGATCGGGTAAAAGAGAACTGAGGCACTCATTTGAATCATAACATATTGGATTTGAAAGAAACTCATACATTAATTCCAAAAGTGATATCACTTTCTCAATGATCTTTCTTTATGTTGTCAAGTTACTATTTTGCAAACATTGTCTGTCTTCGTTCTAATTTTCATGTGATGTCCTTGTTCAAATTCTAAGAAAATATTTAAGAAATACAAAATCCGTTCGCTTTCGTACCAGGGTCAAAACTGGTCAGGGTAGCACAGCAAAGTTGTCTTGATTGCACTTCGCTAGTGTAAACGAAAAGGTGTGCAGAGAACGTTTTTTACATTGAAGCTTGCAAGGAACAATGCAAATGGGGATTAAGTCGCTTCTTTGAGCAAAACATTCTAACATAGCAAAGAAGCATCTTAGGTACTTTCTAGCAGTGTCCTCTTTATGTCTAATGGGTTTAAAATCATGCTCACACCTCGAGAAGTGCTTCATCTTCCATGACTTAAATTAGAAGAGTTCTGCACCATTCAGGACTTCTAATACGTCCGGCCTTATATTAGCTTTCAATACTGCACCATTAAAGACATCGTCAACATCCACTAATTGAAAACATCACCTCACTTTCTAAAGTCAACACATGTTCTGGGAAAAATCAACCATTTTCATGCAAAACTAAATGATTCTGATACGATTGATTCGTACATGGATTGACATATTTTTTTCATCCAGAACTTGTTGGTCTTCGAGTTTCCTTTGGAGTGCTTGGAAGGTTTTGCATCACGTTGTCGTATGATGCCATTTACATATGGTCGACCGAAATGTACCCGACTTGCGTAAGGTAAGATTAATTAAAAAAATCAATCCTGTTAGGCAAAAATTTCAGCAAAAATAGCGAAAACTCATTGAAAGTCACTGAGTTTTTTGATTACTTAACAAATTGGAAAAAGGTAAATAGAAGATTGGAGACGAATATCAATATATAAAAAATACCAGTTATCTTCTGAACAAGTCGAAGTGTATTAGTATAGGTGCCTTATTATTTTAATAAATTATTTTAGATTCGACTTGGACTTTGATCAAATACATATATATTAATATATAGAAATGTGTCTTTTGATACTTCCGTAGCACAGTGCTCAATACGTTAGCACGTAGAGCGTTATATATCATAGATTGAAGAAAGTAAAACTACATGGTTTATCTCTACAAGACATCTCCTGAAGAGTGAGTTACTCACGAAACAGGCTTGTAGAGATAAACCATCTAGTTTTACTTATATATTAAAAATATATTAAAAATATATATTTATATATTTATATATATATATATATTACATATATATTGATATATATATATACTACATATATATACATTTATATATATAAATATATTACATCTCCGGTTGGGCCTAAAAAAACTTTACTTGTGTCGTTAAATTAGCTATTATTATCTTTGCTTGTAAAGTGTGCTATTTTTGTTCTTTTGCTTTGGATTCCTTATTATACGCTCCAAATATAAATGAAGGTTATTGTGAAGGAGCATATCGCGAAACGTTAATCAAGTCGCGAAACGTTTTTTAGTGATCATCTATTTAAAGTTTTAAAAAACATTATAGTCTAGAGCTTTTGAATACATACACAATATATACAATTGGGCAGCACCCTTGTGGAAATAATTTCCCTCTGTCAACCTTGGCCTACTGAATAAATAAAGCAACAAATTCAAATACCTTCAATATATGAATTCCTTGACAGGAGTGCAGCCATGGGCTACTTGCAAATCTTTGCCCATATTGGTTCTTCACTAGCACCTTGGGTGGCAAAATGGCTCGTCGCCTTCCACGTGGTTCTACCGTTTTCAATAATGGGCGGTTTAGCTGTCATAAGTGCGATTTTGTTGTTGAGGCTGCCTGAGACGGCTAATAAGGAAACATTGGAAACACTTGCTGATCAATTTGAAATGAAGGGCAGCCACGTAAAGGAGGTAGATCTAAAAGAAGAGAAGGAAAACGTTACTGAGATAAAAGACCTAACTGCATGATATTTTCCACCCTCCATCAGCAAGGAGGAGCAAAATACTGAAATTTTATAATCAAACCAAACCCAATATACATGCTATTTACTTTACAAAGAACCTTGCTAGAGGCCTAGTTCTCGAAATTCCTCATCTTTAGATTTTTTTGATCGAATTGTAGTACTCAAAGTTCCTTAATAGTTTCTTAATTTACGAAAATTGTTCCTCCTCCATTACAATTCTGTGTTAGTGTCGCTAGATTCTTAACTGTAGATGGCAAATAAGGTGAAAAACGGATAATAAACTAGAAAGACATTTCATGTATGAAAAAGTGGAAACTCGGTCAAGAAAAAATGTAAAACTCGAAATTACACAATGAAACCTTCGATCGCTACCATCTTTACACACAAATGGATGGAAACGGCTTCCTAACTTGATTGTTTGCAAGAATAAAAAGTTCCAAAGATGAGAAGCTCCTTAGGTTGTTTGTCTTTAATTTTTTAATTTTTAAAAGGTTCTTTAATTTTTTCTGCCTACTACATGCAGGTTTTTTATAAAGAAGTTCCTTATAAAAAGACTTCTAAACCCCCACCCCTTCCCCCCAACCTCTAAAAAAGGAAGCATTGCAGTGACCATTGTCGAATGTAATCATGTCCTCCATTTTATCATAGCCATTAACACCTTCCATCGTCTCCGTACCAACAGCAAGGTAATCTACAACACTTCTGTAGCATCTCCTTGTTTTATGTGTATACGCCCTGTATTGTAGTTAGTTAGTTTTCATTTCGCTGGAGAAAAGAAGCACAATAACACAGCAGATTTGTTTTCATTTTATCGATGGCCTAAGGCAGCATAAACCAAAAATCAAGATCATAAACATAAAAATTGGTGAGATAGTTCGTTTACAACTCTTTTACTAATAGTTCTGTATATCATGTACAACCACAATAAGAGCTATTAACGCATTACTGAATTTACCCTGGGTACCAGAGCCACAAACTTTCGAACGCGGAAACAGAGTGCCAAGCAGAGAAGCGGAGGAGCATTTGTATGGTGAGTTCCACCAAATGGGTTGATCAATAACTTTCAAAGATAAAATTCTGAATGAAATTAATTGGTGAGACAAAATTGAAAGGAGCATACTATGCTTTAATGAGCGTTGTTGAAATGTCTTACCTCCAGACTTTTAGCCGGGCATTCTTGTTTTGCTTAGCTCTTCAATGATGCTCAGACATTTCATGCGTAACGCATGCGTAACACACACAAATTTAAGGTGATAAAAAACAAAATAGCGGCTGTCAACGTGTATATTGTTTGTGAACTTTACAGAATACAATAAATTGACTTGAAAACAATTATTCCAAGGGCGGGCTTCGTACAGTGAGAAAACATCACATTCGAGCTGTTTTGTTTTTCATTCGGCGCTATTTCTGTCACTGCGCATGTGTCGTCGACTAACCCAGGTCCGCCCCAAGTTTGCGTTTACACTACACTATATCTAAACTAACCCAGGCTCGACCTAGGGCGAACCCACCTTTCGAGATGGATTGGCTAACCTGGGGTGAATCTGGGTTAGTTTGCGCTTACACTACAAAAATCGAACATGGGTTAGTTTTAACCTGGGGCGAACCCAGGTTAGTTTGTGTAGTGTAAACTGGGTTTAAGAAAATTCTTAGGAATTAGTTAATAGAGAATCTTAGGAATTACTTCAATATTGATGTAGAATATGACCATTTATGAAGATAAAGGCATTTAAGAAATGACGGCTGTTTGATGGAGCTGTCAAGCAGATATGTGCTGCTTTCAGGAAGCAAAGCAACACTATCGTGTTTAATTTACGAAATGCAGAATTAACATCATAAGAGGCAGCCACGAGAAGCAATGGGAAAACACTTACCCGTCTTTAGCGAGAGGAGGATCCATACCCTGAAACCCTACAGTAATTGCAACGAAGACAGTGTCGTCGTGACTACATCATTGTGGCTTTTATGGGAAAACATGGACGAAACGTTCAAAAACAGAAGGCTAGCACCAACGCTTTGATGTATGTCGGTCGCACATGCTAAATGCCTTTATTGGTCCCTTTTGAAATTTGTTTGCATGATATCTCTGCAAAAGTTGCACAATTTGTTGGTGAAGCAAAAACAATATTTAGCTGCAAATATGACTTAGTGTCCAAATGCCAAAGAGAATCCAAAAGATAGCCGTTCAAGCCAAAGTCGTTGGGCCTAATTAGTGTCAGCCTTGTATCTAAAAGTGGAAGGCATTTAGAAAGAAATCAATTTCAATAAAAGAAAACGTTCCCAGAGGTGCGATCTCTGATTGCCTAGTCGCGAGTCTCGCTTTTCAATTATAACTGGTTAAAAGATGAAAAACAAAGAACTTTGATTGACATACAAAGAACAGGCAGACATATTTTGACATAGTTGTTGCAATTGTTGAAATAGCTTTCCATGAGTAAAAAACAGCAATGACAAAATCACGTGCAAATGCTCACCAATGAAATTTCATTCAAATGACGACGTTAATGAAATAAGAATATAAGGGCCCGTTCACACTACTCCGTTTTCTAAACATATATATATATATATATATATATATGGATGCCCATCGAGCTGAGCAAAATCCCCCCTTCATGTACTCATTCTTCGCACATAATAAAAACGGAGTCGAACTAATCCGTTTTTGCCTTGCATTCACACTACTCTGCTATGAAAACGGAATCGTTTGAAAATGCTAATGAAAACGGATACTTTCGAATACTGTGCGCATTGAATACGCTCCGTTTTCAGTGTGAACCCCAAAAACGGAGACATTTCAATACGCTAACATCGGCAACAAATTACGTGCTTTGTAGCACACCAAATCTCAAAAATTTTGAAATTGAGAATTCACAATGGACTCGTAGCTGTTACAACAAAGTTTTTCACGATTACTTTTATTTAATTTCATAGTGTGAACACATATCGTATTCACAGCGTATTCATATGAAAACGGATTAGTGTGAACGGACATCGTTTTCATCAACGAAAACGGAGCGAAACGAATACGGAGTAGTGTGAACGTGGCCTAAGGCACATACCTTAACTGTTACATTTAAGGCAGACGTATATATATAACAAAGCATACTAACATCCTTTTGTATCCAAAACGTCTTCCTTGCATGGATCAGAATCTCCCTTAGGCCGTACCACATTGTTGATTGTGCAACAATACCGAAAGCATGGCAGTCATACGGCCACAGGAAGCGCGGAAGGCAAACGAACACGAACACAGAAAGAATGAAAATATCACGCATAAACATGGCCTTGTTTTTTTCAGGAAATTTTCCTGGTAGAAGATTGAGTTAAGTGCTTGGAAGAAGAACAAAAACTTTCCTTGACTCTGCGATCCGGGATAGAAATGTGCCTGCGGACAGTATGAGACATGCATCCAGCCACTCGGCTCAATTTTTAGATCTCAGCTATCAATACGCGCTCACCCAACATTGGATGGAAGAAAGGAGATGAATGTTGCACGATGGATGCATGCTCACCAGCATGGATTGGTTTGTTTGTATACATTGTACAATTGTATGCATTTTAGCTTCATTTCAGACCCCTTTACTAGTTATACAAAAGTTTCAACGTCTTGTGAATCCAGAAATTGGTTGATGATAGTAAATGACATCCAAGGAACAACAAAAAAATTGTTCGAGTTAGCGAATGGTCGAGTTATCGAAGCTCGACTTGTTGATATTATACTGTATGATCAATGACTTCGAGGCGCTATTATATGACGTCATAGCAACTGCTTTAAGATACAATTGGCTAACTTTGAAATCCAGATATCATACTTTCATTTCTCCTCCACTTTCACCAAAAGATTAACTATCAAGGGAAGGCTTGTAGTAACAATTTGGATGCTTTTTGCTAGGCAAATTACATTCATTATTTCCCCTTGCGTGCTTCTTTCACAGCTCCATTCTACACAAGTCACTTTCCATACATCTGTGTTTCACAACGATAAGTCTTGTCTTTATCATCGGCCATTCTTCGTTTCAAATTGTTTTCCCTAACGATAGTGGTGCTAATTTTAGCCAATTAATATTTTTATAAAAGCATGTGGATATAGTCTAAAATAAATGTGAATCATCACAAGCTAGGTCTTTTCCTGACTCTGTGTTCTCTGCACGTAAAATGAGATGCGATGAAAGTTGGACATGGAACATTGGCCGATCAATAATTGGCCAATCAGTGAGTGTGATTCCACTCACATGCTTATAGATTGACTAATGTTGATTAGGAAAAGCAGACTTTTGGTACTTATGCCGTTGGCTGTAGGGGGGCCGGAAGCACTTTTGCACCTTCACTGCAACAACTAAGAAAGCTAACTGTATCGCGATCTTCTTTCTTGCTTTAGAAACAATCATATCAGAACGTCATAAACAGCGCTCAGCTACGAGCTCAGTACAGTGAGACTCACTGGGAAGAGGAGGTTAAATAGATTTCGGTCTCCTACTTCAGTGTACAGGTGTCACCACAGATATCCAACCACAATATTAGAAGAAAAATTTATAAATCAATAAATTCGAATTTCCCAATGATATTTTACAAAAATTAAAAGAATTCAATGAGCATCTTAAATCACACGAACAATAAAGTACAATTTCAAAATTCCGACTTATAAAATATGTTTAAAAATCATATCTGTAATTTGAATAAATAATCAATTTTCCCCTGAACATGAAAATGTACAGTTCTGATTTACAAGCTAAAATTTATTTTTAAAAATTTGAAACAGCAATGAAAATGCTTAATTACGCGAGTGTTTATTTACAATCATTTAGTGTTTATTACAGCGTTGAATTCTCAAAAGAAAACTGGGACAACATCTGAACTACATATGGTTTACTGCTTTTCGCATATTTAGATCCATATGAAATACTTGGAATGAAGGTTTAAGAAGAAAGGTGAAAAAGAGCGAGATATCCAAATGGGGGCAAAAAGGGTATCAAAATTACTCGGGATTCATAGTTTCATATGTAGTTGAAATATTTCGCATAGAGTATCATCTTTAAAGGAAGAGGGGTTGAAAAAAATTAATTCAGTGACAGGAGCTGCTTTAACTTAGATTGAAGGTCGAGCAGCAGTGACAATTTTGAGGGGGTGGTGTGGTTATTGTCAATTGTAGTATGACATTGAAAGGCTATTGGTCTATATTAACAGGACTAAACCAATAAAAATATCTGAAGATCCACTATAGAAAATGTTTGTGATTCTGATAAAAGTTTCAATAGAGCTACGAGGCTTGGTGATAGCTTAGCATTGTGGGATAGAAAGTCTCGGTGTAAATAACAAAGGGGCAGAGAGGAACCTTCGATTTAGCCAGTGGGCTGAGCTTCTAGGCCTTGTATCAACATTAGAATTTAATCTATACATCCAAGTGACAATATGCACCATCTTCAAGATTTGCATTTGTAAAGTTAACAGATTTGCTCTATATTTAGGGCAAATTTATTTGGGTGGCATAAGCTTCTACAACAAAATCATCAATCCAGCTTCATCTGAGTTACGCGCAAAATATGTGACGTCAGAGACGGAAGATTTCTAGCAAAGAGTTTGTCGTTGCTAAGATCGACGCACTTGACAGCAGCAAATATCCTTCGCATGGTGTAGGATACAGAGTCTGGGGGCCAGGCAAGCCATCGCAAGAGAACAGCAATTATAGGCTTGTTGTAAAATGCAGCAGTACTCACCTCCTTAAGGCAATTTGCACTCTGTAGATAACTGGGGCTCACACAAATTACCACGACACAGGAATCTTTGATGTTTTTCTCTATTTCGTTGGCCAGGTTGTCATGAGCACTCATTCTTGAAGTCCCCAACGGGGTTGTTCGTGGCAAACTTTGAGTGACAGGTCTTCTCGCTACACGGTCCAAATCAGACCAACATCTGAAACTTGCAGCTTTTAAGCTATTTATTATAGTTTTAACTCTCGATTGGTGGTCCCATTGGTAACTAACGAACACTTTAGGCACGTCTAAATTTAGGCCTGATTTCGTTGATGTCGACACTGGTGTTTGTACTTGCTCATGAATATCTTTCGGTGCTACGGAGAAAATATATCTTTTCACTGCTTTGAATACTTTTGAATGCTTTGAAAATGTAGCCAAAAACAATTCATAAAAAGGAATAGATAGAAGAATAACTTTGGGGCACGAATATCCGCCATTGCCGGAAAGACAGGAATAACAAAGCTACTTGTATAAAACCCCTTTACGTTGGAAAAGCGACAGAGCACTGTCCATTAGGGTGAGATGAAGGGGGCAAAAATCGGAGGATTGCCTCCCGGAAGACCGCTGAGGTAGCGGTATCAGAAACATAGAGAGGAATGTACAGTTCAAACAGACTAGCCAGGAAACAGCTTCATTCAAGTATTTACTTACCAAAATCTAAGGTGCACAAAACTTCCTTTTTAAAACATTTTGACAAAAAAACATCTCTTTGAAAGAAAGGTTGCACGTTTAAGGCTGAAATCTGTGGTAAAATGTTTTGGCGACAAGGAGCAATTGTTATTGTGATGGAGGCGGGAAAGATAGGAGCAAAAATGGTTGGAAAAACATTTCCCCCTCGAAATATCTCTTCGGGCGTACACAGAGGCTGGGGATAAACACGGATGAATGTAAACGGGGGGTGAGGGGGAGGGGGGGTTATGGAGTATGGCTAAGTCCAAAATATAATAAACGAGGGGTTTGAATAGACGGGGAAAGGAACTGGTTCATGTATCGCAAGTGATCAAAGGGACTTTTCCAATTCCTAACAAACGTTTTTATCGATGAAACGGGGAGAATAAAATAAGGAGTCTGGGTATTCAAAATTCCATACTGGAGGAGCGTTTATTCCTGACCTCAGAATACTCTAAAAATCTTCAGAGAAACGCCTGTCGTATTTCTTCGAGTCTTCGCTGGACGATTGTTCGAATCTACAGCACCATTTTAAATTTCACTTTGATGTTAACCAATCAATGAGCAGTTGCAAGTTGAATTTGCTCGGTCTAGGGTTATTCATGGGTTCTTACACTTGAAGAGGTATATCTTGATATCAGTCTAATCCCAAATAAAGGGCAAGATATAAGGCCTACATTCGGGTATTGCGCAGGAATCCCGCAGTTGGGCAATATATTAACGGGATTCCCTTACAGGTGTTGTAACACCTTAACGTACACATAAATTCAGACATTCCAACATGATCTATTTGAATTATTAATTTTTATTTATCAACTTATACAATAGAGCAATATTCTCTCAAGGAAGTATTTTGTTCCGAGTTTGGACCTGCCTGTGAGATGGAAGAGTACTCCCTTTATTCCTTTATAGACAATATAACGTATGTACTTACTGCCGTATCGACCTGCAATTTCTCTGAACTGGCAGACACCTTCAGCAACACGCTTCAAGTACTTCTGTTCGAACACAACACCCGATACAGCCCTTGGTGGCATGATTTCGTTTACCAGCAAATCAAGGCCATCCAAGTACAGGGTTGAGGCAAAATCTATCGCTGGAACATCTGACAAAATAGCAGACAGCGAAAGTTTCACCTTATCAAAGCAGTTTTCAAAAACAGCTACGATCAATGGCCTTCCTAGCCAGACCGCGAATACTGTCTCGTAGAAAGCGAACGGCGAGTTGGCACCTCGGCTTGTGAAGAGAAATATCACGCGTGAAGATGAAGCGATTGAATGTGCATTTGCCTTCAAGAATTCCTCTTTAGACTGGCCTAGTTTGCTATGAGAGAGTACCTGGAAGTAGAAAAAGTCCGTAAACATAGAAAAAACGTAAATCTTTACAAAAACCTTATTCAAATACTTGATTCAGTCTTTGAAAGTCATTTAAAGTCTTAAAGATAATCAAGTATTTGTTGCATAGTGCTCGATGCGTGGTGTGTAGAGTTGGAACATGGCTGTACAATAAATTGGGTGAAAACAGTCCCCGGATCCCCACAGGTGAATCCCCTTTCGAAAAATCAGTTGACCCGGCCATCTTTTCATTTATCCACGTCCCCTCCAAGCAGGGGCGCAGCCTGCGGGGGCGTGGGGTGTCACAACCATCCCAACTTTCAGAGAACTCGTCGGTAGAATTACATTTATAACCAAAAAAGGTTTATGCCAAATGTAACAAAATAATTTCTGTCGGTAAAATATGGTTTTGCATCTCTTACATACCCCAGCGAGAAAGATCACGCTACGCCACTGCCTCTAAGCAGTCTTTCCTCTTTGGCACGATATCCCATCCCCTGCCAGTCAAAGACAAATTTTGCCTCCCAAGCCATATTAAACCACTTTCACCCGCGAAGAAACAAGTTTCCTGTCTTGATACACAAGGATGTATAGAAGAACGGTTCTTAGTTGCTACTCAAAGTTTCATGCTCGTTGCAATCACCATGCAGCTCGCAACAAACTCTGTTACTTAACTAACCCAATATTACTGGTTGCCCGACGATAAAAAAGCGCTGAACCCAGAGTAAAAACATAAAACAAACATTCTTGTTCCACATAAAAAGCATGTACAGCTCTGTCTATACGGCTATAAATGGTCCGCGTATAATTTTTTTTCAAAATCTTGCTGTTGTCATATTATTTAGGATTTAATTGACGTGCAAAACATTTTGGTGCAAAGATAAGAAAGTGCGTCATTGCTAAAGTAATAACGTGCCATTTTCATAAAATCCACCACTGGCATTTTCAAGTTGTGAGGATACTTTTAAACTAGCGCATAACGTCTAGTCTATGCCATTGAAAGTTTTATGGTAAAACAACATCTGAAGCATCGTTTATAAACCATCCCCTAGCAACACTGCTTATTCAATGACCAATTCCTACATTAACATGTTTTGTTTACAGCAAAGGCTGAATTCAGCATTCAATCTTTGTTTATCGATACATAAGCTACATTAGAAGCCACAGATGAATAATGCAAAACATCGGTAGGTGGTACGGATTTAGTTCTAAACCCTGATTGTTTTTTCAAATGATTACAAGTACCATTGTGTGTTATTGTTCTGTTCATTCCATTTTTTATCTTTGAAACTCGATCACAAAACACGTTGAAACAGGAATACAGTGCGGAATACAGTGTTAGGCTTGTACAACAGATTGGAGGACATGCAGGGTTTATGTTTGTGAATTGCAACTAAATATACAACACTCACCTGTAGTTTTTTCTGCTCTAAATCAAGTTTCACAAGATTGCTAAGCTCAGCATCATCAGGATCATGAATCAAGTAGACACTATTAGCTTTACTTCTTATTGTCCTTTTCTTCGACCACTCATCAAATCTTCCTGTCTGAATTTCTTCATCTATTATAAATTTAACTTTCTGCAGGATTTTTCGCCTGCATATTTGACTGTCAACTGCCAGAATATTAGATAATATGTCATCTGTTACTGATTGTAGAAGAAATCCATCTATTTCAAATTCTTCAAACGATATGATATACTTTTCATGGATTTTCAAAGAAGCTAACCAATCCTGAACATCTTTGACAGTCCAGGCCAACAGTGGTTTTGTCTTGTATTCAATCAAAGTACTGATGTCGTCTATAGTTTTGGGTATTTTAATCGAAAATCCATTTGAAATTTCTTCCAATTCCTTATTCAGTACTGATATAAACATGGAAACTTTTTCTGCTTCTGAAAGTCTTGATATCTTTCCAACACTCAAATTCACTGCAATGCTTTCAGATAAACTTGAGAGTCCATCATCTGCTCCACTGAACCAATCACTGAATTTCACAACTAGCAGTCTGATAGGCTGCTGGACGATATCTGGTGCATCTTGATACATTGCAATTCTCTCAAGGAAAATTTCTCCTTCACTTCTTGTTTGATGAGAAACAAAATAGCTTTCTGATAACACAATAATTGCTGCCCTACATTTTTCTGCAACCTCAAGACGACTGCTAATAAGAAATGGTCCCATAATGCTACCTTGCAGGACATCTCTATCAAACCAAACATCATCGTGCATGCCTATTTCATTTAACTGTTTTGAAAGTTCAATAACAAATTTTCGTTCTTCATATGGTGCTTTGCAGGAATATGATAAGAAAACACCTTTCTTTTTTGATTTTTTAACTTTGTTTGAAGTGACAGGACTTGTCAGTTTTGTAGAAATAATGATTGGTGAGCATTGGTTGTCATTTTTATGAATCTCCTGTGACATCATCGCATTTTCCTTGCCAACATTTCTTGAATGTGCAGGTTCACCCATCACTAGCTTGACTGATATACATCAAGATGGACTGGTTATACATGCATGGGTTGTCATGGAAACATCATTCTGAAAAAAGAGTTTATCAATTTATCAGTTCAATATCAAGCAGCATGTGCTTCTAAAGAAAAATTTTAATTAATGGTATCATAAAAGAATAAATGAAATCATGGCCTTTCAAAGATCAAAACTAGCCATTGTTGAGAACCATTTCACTAAATGCACAAAAGTTTCATTTAAGTGAGGAGTTCTCAAAGTGATGATAGTATTTGAGGACATCAAGCTTCACTAGATGCCCAGTTTCAATATATCTCTTGATTCAACAATAACAGATCTGGTGTTGGACTTGTGAATGTTACTCTATATATGTTCCTAATTTATGATAAGAAGGAATGGGACCATGAAAAATTGTGACAAGCATATGTAGTGTTTTTTTACAGAATTTGTTAATATGAAAATATGCTGCTGAACAAGTATTCTCTTTCATAAACAATTGTAACTACCTACAGATTTGTTCTGTCTGTTTTCAAGTGTGCAGCTGTCAGCTGCAGTAAACCTCAGTAGTTGATACACACACAAAAACCTGTAGCTACTGGACATTGCTAGCAAACCATAATAGAAAACACATTAAAGGTTTTTTGACTCTTTTATATTGCAATGTACATAAATAAATAATGAATTCAGAATCAGCTTATCTGAACTTTGAAAAAAAAACACAGTATGTGAACATTTGTGTAAAGAATTAGAGTTCAAAATGTGAGTATGGATGGTATCTTGAAATCAAACAAAACAGGTTGATCTTTGCTTGTTCAAAAATTCTAACTAAACACTTTTTGCACCAACTTGAAAGCTGCAAAAACAGATAATAAAAAAACATGCAACAAGGACTGTCAGTTTTGCTGGGAGGCTCCCAGTTTTTGCTTGCCTTCTCCTGGTTATTTAAAATCATCTCCCTGTTTCTGTCTATCTGTTTAACACTGGTAATTTCAAATAAATCTGATAACTATATCACTTTAATCATGACCAATGGTTTTTAGTGCTTAGGAATTAGCAAAATACCTATTACATTATACATTTACATTATAGAATTTTTCATTAACCGATTCCCCAGCACACTTAAAACAAGTATTCTGTTTATACAATTCAATAAATTCTGGTTATATTTTTGCTTTAGGCTGAACCTTGCTGTCTTTCTTTGGTGAAATCTAGAATCTCCCGATTTTGAGAATTTTAGGTTGACTGACTTGGCTGCGTGCAATCTTCACAATCTTGATAATCAAATCAATTCCCAATATGGTCGTAGTTTGCAGAATCTGTCCAAGAAAGAAGATTTTTATTTCGACAAATCCCCCTGAAACCTCAACCACCTGGTTCAATGTTAAAGTCATAAATTAACAACATGAAATTAACCATAGGTCAACAGAAACAAAAGTTTTCTTGAGGGATTTTATCTGACAAAAACCAGTGATTTTGTGGTGTTGTAAACCTTCTCTGCAATTTGCTTTCAGCACAGCAGGCAGGTGGCTCTCTCTCTCCAACCAAACAGAGATAATTCATGTTGAGAATGAAGGTAATTAGGATTCTAACATAGAGGGGGGGGGGGCAATTTTTTTCTACAAAATATATAGAAACTACTATACTAAAAATTATATACAGAGGTAATGAACAAACATGTAAAACCAACATAGTGATGGGAGGGTTAAGAGGCAACATGTGCGCATTTTCACACTCAGTACAATCTGCAAACGTTTTTGTTATCCCTCAATAAAATTGGGGGCCCCTGTCCCCTTTCCATACCCCCTTGCTTTTCAACGCCTTGGCCCACACCTGAACTTAAAAGAAGTGACAAAGCGTGCAAAGAGAGGTTTACACTATTGTTGTTCAATAAATTTAAAAATTGTCTAGAATATTGTTCTAAAATTGTAAAGAAAATCATGGAAGTTGTTGCGCAATTTGACTTATAACAAATAAAATCAACAAACAATGAAACCTTGATTGAAGATTGAGAGCTACCAGAAATATACCTCAAAACTATGGAATGTTTTGAGGTACATGTCTGGTGTACATTCTCAGCATATCCAATTAAGAAGAAGCAGAGGGACTGCTACCCCTTTCCCATTGGAACTTCTCTGATTGGGGGGAATTCTATTTAAACTGATTTGACTAACCAGCACTGCATTGTGTACCACAGTGCATTGCCAAGGGTGCTCTGCTCTCCTTCTTAATAGCAAAAGGTGGCCAGGAATAAAGCTTTAAACTACTTGATCACTTTAAGAATTACTTATTGAAGTAGCTGTACAGATACGCCTTGTACCTCGTGTACGGAGCAGGATTAAAGTTAAAGCCAGCCATATATTAAAGGTGTATTTACAAAACAAAGAACTTTGTTTGAACAAATGTTTGCCATAACGACGAGTTTTAACTATGAAAATGCGGTATGGGGTAAAATTAACTGGCATTACCTAGGTAATTTTGGTGATATCAGATAGCAAAAAAGTTGTCTATTTCTCAAACAGGAGGTCATATTGTAAACACTCAAAATATATTGCAAATCAATGCTCTCTAGTACCCAAACAAAATGCTTGATCGAACAGGAACATGATATCACCAAGATAAATTTGAAGAACTCTCATTTTATGTTGATATGACTTGAAGATACACATAAAAGAAATTTTATGGAACTAAAATTACGAATACTTCATATTTGTTGGTCGGCACAATTTCTTTTCAAAATAAATTTCGTTATAAATAATAAATTAACATTGATGATCCTGTAAAATTGGCGGCTTCAAAATTCCAGGTCAATCAGTTCAAACAATTAATCTTCCAACGACAACATGAAAATATAAAGAGCAATGAAGAAACCTAATGTTTCCAAACTTCCTTTACTCGTCCAAAAGATTGTTTACACGTACAATCAAAAAATGAAGAACTGGATTACTCTCAACCAAGGCAATTAATTTCTGGGAATTATATTTTAGCGTGAAAGACTAGATTTGAAACTCAAACAAGCGAGTTATATTCTAAGGATTGAATTCAATTTGAAAAGCACATGGATAGAAAATTGATCAAATGGTATACTAACCTCCCGTAGAGAACTCGCGACCATAACAATTACTTCTCATTAATTCTTGTCAGTGTGTCATAATTTGACTGATTTCCTTACTTCCGTGTTCCCTGGACATGCAAGCGAATTGATAAGATTTGAATGACTACTCTGCGCTGTATTAGGCCACCAAAAATCAGCTAACAAGTTGTTTTGCGTGGAAACTTAGATGGTCTTGAGCAGTTTCTAAAAACTGAATCGATCAAGCGTGCATTTGTTGGATTCGAGGGGCACGTGATCAAAGCCGATCAAACTAAGCTCCTTCACAGCGACCCTTCCAGTGACCGGGCAGAAACCTTCGCAGCTGCCACAAAGCATGATTCTATCTTGCGTTTTTTAGATTTGCGAAAAAGCGGGAATTTCATTTATCATTTATCGTGAACTTGCGAAAACAGATTTCATTACAAATCATTATTTACAGCATCGAATAAAAAATTCAAGCCTTTGTCATGAAAGTCTTGGGAAGCGCGCATTTGCCATGCCTGTTTCAAAGCGCAAAATTCAAAAAAGGTTCTTAGCGTACAAAAAAGCTGTCGCGAATAAAATCAATTCGTCAGAGGCAGGCCTTTAAAGAAAAATTCAAGCCAGCTGTCAAAATAACACGCGCAAAAACTACAAAACAATATCAAAACAGAATGATAACAGAAAAACAGGCACACGGTGCGACTCATCAACAGACTACCATCTACACTCCATTTGAACTTGCAAATTGTAAACATAAAATGTACCAGTACAAATAGTACTCGCTGACTTTAAAATCTCATTTATATGGTCTTAACATTACAATGATGTTGCTATTGAAAAAGAGTAGATCCGTCGTATATAACTCTAAAGAAGCAGCTAATAATTTAATGACGTATCGAACACGAGTGTCTAAGAGAAAGATGATAAATGGGATATGGGAAGGAGTAACAACAGTTTTGAAGAAAACAATAACTCTAGAGGATTTTTTCTAAATAATGGGATGGAATTACACAATACAGAAAATACACTATTGTAAGAGCGTACATACTTTTAGGTTGAGCCTAGGTGGGTAATGAATGAGTAGTTTTCTATCAATTGGATGTAGTTTTCTATCAATTGCTCTTTGTATCTTTGAAATTGCATCTTAAAGCCCCCTTCATCTCGGTCTTGGAGTTTCAAACTTTATTTTCTGCTTTGTTTAATTTCTCCCTGATCATGTTGCACTACAGATATTTAAACTAGAAAATACATGAATTTAAATAGTTATTGATAATCGTGTACGAGTATTTAAGTATTCATAAAACGCCCCTCTTTTGGCCTACACAAATAAAGGCATTCAGATACATATTTTTACTGTATGTTTGTGGTATTATCTTTCAAGTTGAACACTAAACCATGCTGTAAAGTCTTTGTAAAGAAATATATCCTCGCGGTTATCTACAATCCCTGCCAAAAAATCTCGGAACACTAGGCGTCAGTTTTCAGAGGCAAATTCAGCTATCCTCATTTCCCTTGAAACAATGTTGGTTTACGAATAAACTAAAAAGAAGATTAGGGAATATGTTTTCTCTGTGACAGGTATGTTATTTTTCCAAAATATTAACGTTGTTCTGGGGAAGGGGACGGAAGTAGTGGTATTCGGGAAAAAAAGAAAAATAGAAAAAACACAACGCAAATTGCTGGGTCCTTCATTTACTTTTGGCAGGCAATGTAGCATCTTGATTCTTGCCTGATATCAAGGGCAAGCTAATTGTAAAATGGAACTCAAAAACGCAAATAAATCCAAATAATGGTTTTAAATTTGATTGTCCAGAAAGGACACTAATCGCAAGTTCGAAGACAGCTGGGAAAAATACTTTTGTGCAAGTAGGGGTAGAATGGCAATAAATACACGTCATTTCGCCTGAAATGGGATAAAAAATGGATCAAATGGGTTCGAAACCGGATGAAATGGGATCAAAAGCGAATTCAAACAGGATAAAACTTGGTATAAACTGGTTTGAAAACGGACTATATCACCGAACAACACAAAGCACAATTGTTTGCCGCAATAAAGAAAAGCCAGGAACCATTTGACAACCACCTACGCTGGCATGGATATACAAAATTGAGTTTTTCAATTTTATATCACAAGTACGATCTGGCTGTCATGACATTACTATCAACTAGGAATGCAAACAGCCCCTTAAAACTTTCGAACATGTGTTTTTCGCCTTGTCTAATACTGAACACTATTTATCATGTTGGGGCTAGCAATATTTGTGGCATTGGGAGATTTTGTAAGTAGCCATCGGGAGACAATCAGAATCAAAAACATAGTCATGGAGGACAATGGAGAATTTCTATGTAAACATGATGGATAGTTTTATTCTCAATCGATGGTTCTACCAATAATTTCAGTTTGAAGAACTGCTATAAGATTTTAAGAATTCTAGAATAAAGGAGATTGTACTCAACTATTATAGGAACAAGCAAATAGAAATTGTAATGACCCTAAGTGAAAGCAAAGCTTGAAGATTTCAATAGGTTGAAAGTGTACAGTCTGATATCACATCTTGACCTGGTCTGACCACGACATCATTAATAGAGAGAGATGTACAAGAAAGAATCTGATGTAGTTATGGACAAAACCTTTAAAGGTTTGACAAAGTTCGCATGATCGAGAAAAGTATATACAACCTATGGAAACAAAGGGATTAGAAGTGTAATTGCCAGGTCGAGAGACGTCATGAGATTGAATTGTTGTTTGGAAAGAGACATCGACCTTGTACGCACGTGTTTGCTTCACTTCCCTTTTTATCCACAGCATTACGTCATTGGAATGGCAGTATCCACTAGCAGAACTGGAAAGAAATCAAAGAAGAAAACGTTAGAAACTGCAATTCCTAAACAAGGAAAAAAGTCAGGGAAACTGCGCTTCGTTTTTTTACAAGTGACGCAAACTTTCCCAGACTTAATTATTGCCCAGTTCTTTCTTCACGAGACAAGTTTTTCCAACCTTTTTTAAATATATCGTTTCTACACATAAGACTACAATATTGTATTTTTTAATTCAAAGCTTGACAGAAAATTCTGTAAACATGAGCGATAGATTTTGATTTAAAGGAAACATGACGCAAAGAACTTGATTTTTTCTTGTCTTTTTGGACTGTTTTGCCCCTATTTCATTTTCCCCCAATAAAGCAAACAACGATTTTCTTGCATCTTAGAACAACAACGTCCAGTTCTAATGACATATTTCATCATCCTATTTTTCCTTCTAAGCACAATAAATCAAAAAATGGCTTTGTAAAAAGAAAACATATATATACAAAATAATAGATCGAAATAGGTCAATCAGAAAAACACAAGCTCGTGACCAGTATAGTTGTCCAATTACTGCTGCCTGTCCAATTTTAATATCATACAGTTAGCCTTGTATCCAGGGACGTCCCGACTTGGGGGCGTGGGTTCGTGACACCCCCCAACTCTGCCGTTCAGCAATTTTTAAGGTAGAAACCTAGGCATCGCCAGGAAAAGTTCAAATCAGGAAATAAGAAGTAAAAAGGAGCAGATGTGCCAAAGATTTTGTAACCGTTTCTTTTTCTAACGAAGCAACAAACAGTTCGAATCGCTGTGAAGCCTTGTTTCCATATATTGTCATTAATTCCATCGCGGGGGCCCCTTAGTTATTATAAACAACACCCTAATCTCAGGAAAAACATTTTGGGCTTTTGGTGCATCAGCCCTTGTCTTGCCTGAGCAATGACGCAATTTTATGGTCGGTGTTTGATTCCAGGGAAAAAACTGCCTCAGTTTTTTACCCCGATAATCAGACTGATACACCTGTCACACAATCGAATGACTGTGTGAGAAGAAGTGAGACAGGAGAAGGCAGAAGGAAGTATATGACGGGATATAAGCAGGAGGAGAAGTGAGTACAAGGGGACAGGGATGGGAGGGGAAAACGCATACAAACAACGCGTGAGTCTTGCTGCAAAATATGACATGACCCTAGCTGCATCACTGTACTTAAAGAAATATGCCAGGAAAAGACCACCTAGAAAATACCACAAGGTGATTAGCAAATAGCTAAGGTAACATGATATCCACAGCCTACTAAGGATATACGTGTGGGACCACCCGATTCTGGAAAAGGGGAATCTGCGCACTTTCCCCGCGGGTATTAACTCGAATTAAACGATTAATTCCCATTTTGTCAGGAATGATCCCCGATGCAGTTTCTCGAAGGTCTATTACAGCCTATGACAGTCTGCAATGATATATGGTAAGAACGGACAATTGGGAATCATCGGCGATCATCTTGATCATCGCAAAGTCTAAATAACTTCCCGACACTTCCTGATGAGCAATAGCAAATAAACAAAATGGCAAAAATTTTATGCCAGAACGTTACAGAAGCAAGGCCACTTTCACAAAAGCGAGGGTAACTATTTCTTTGAAAAACTGAAATGTTTCTGATTCCTAGAGATTCAGATTTGAGTTTGCCTCCTCTCACTTTTTTCCCTCCACTTTTGCAATGCTGACTTGCTCTAATGTGCCTCTACGGCTACACTATATTTGTTTATATGCACTTCTACAACACAATGGTACACTTCTGCTGGCATCAACACTGGACTCAGATATGAGTGAGGAGGCACCTAGGTGTAAAGGAGCGGATCACAAGCTGCGAAATGTTCTACCTGGTGGACAGGCTGATCAGCTAGGAAGGATTCAAGATTACATAACACAACATATATACCCAAGTGTGTGTATATACATAAATATTTGTGTGCAACTCTATATGAAGTTATTTTTGAATAAACAGTACAACATGCCTGTACTGATACACGCCTCATATCTGTCTGCACAAGGCTGTGGGACGACACCTAGTGCATTTTTTGCACCTTTTTTTTAGTTTCCTGACAAGATTTTCTTAGTTTTCTGACAAGATTTTCTTAGTTTTCTGACAAGCTAAGCTTGTCTTTGTATGGTTATAAACAAACAAACAGCAAGCTGGCAGTCTTCTTCGAACATATGTATAGTGTATACAATGTATAAAGAAGACCAACAAAGGGGTCTAAAAAGGACAAGAAATTCAACAGTTGAGTTTCACTGCAGCAAAGATTGCTTTACAATCCGAGGAAAGGTACGAGGTATTTAAGCTGACAAGAAGACTCTACAGGCTTTTTATCACTGCAGCACTAACGAAAAGAGAAAAAAGATATAACAGGCGAAGAAAAGTTGAACGACCTGACAGTTTTTGCTGCAGAGAAAAATATAACTCGATGAAATATTAAGCACGAGGAAACTGTGAAGTACAGAATCAATTAATGTGGACATCATAATTAGTAAAATACCTTTTGTAAATGTTTAGAAACAGATAAAATCTTTTCAGGTAAGAAAGGCGTTTGCACAAAAAATCAGGTAGATTCATCCAAACACCCCCCCCCCCCAACCTCAAAGGCTTCGGGACGTCCATGCTTACTTCATTTGCAGTTTTCTGCTCTGCTTTAGATTGGTTAGCGCATTTTACCACGCATTGTAAAGCAACATAATATTTTTTTCAAGGAAGTGTACCACGTAGCATTCGTATCCTTAGGATGAGCTTCTAAATAAATACAGCGAAACCCTTGTATTACAGACGCCTTTAATCAAAGGTAATTGCCCGTTGTAAGGAGGTTGTAGGAAGGTCTCTTTTGTTAGGGGGTTCCAGTTTGTGGGGAGGTGCACGTTATGGGGAGGTGCACGTTAGAGGGAGGTGCCTATTGTAGAGAGGCGTCCGTTGTAGGGAGGTCTCGGTTGTTAGGGGGTTCCCATTTTCAAGGAGGGGTCTGTTGTAGGGAGGTTATCAAAGCCAGGCTTTCACCCTGGTAAGAAATGTTGAGGCAAAAATGTTGTTAGGCAGCGGCTGTTAATGGATAATTAAGAACGTGCTATGTTATCAAACAGGAATTGATGTCAGAAGAAAATGTTTTGATTAAAATCTAACGTGTCTCAGTATTATCACAGCATTTGCGTAACAACGACTCAGTACTTTCCCTGGGGCTAATGAGCTGTCGCGACGCTGTAAAGACGAAGAACCCTACCTGAGTTAGGACTCGAATTTTTGGAAAAAGAACTTTTAATGAGAAATTAAACAAGATTATTAGGGGATAATGACCTTAAATCGATCTATGTTTAGCACATAACTCGTGATTTCTTTCCCTTTGCCTTCTAAAGCGAGCCTCGTGTACTGGTGTGAACAGCTTGCAAACTGGTTTATTGTTGTGATAATTCTATAACCTGCATAAGCAATTACAAATTGCGCTTTTATCCCTCAGGTTTTACAAGACAACAGACCACCAAAAGCAAAGAGTCATAAAGAATATGGAAGAGCAACAAGCCTTGTTCATAGACAATGGATAAGAAGCTTGTTATGGCTTTGTGATGTATCTGTTACTGGTTGACCTGGCTTTTACGAACAAAATTAAGGGACTTTTGAAAGCATGTTATGTCATCAAAATTGCGTTAAAAACCTGTTTGAAAAACCTGATAAAAGCAAACAAATCTGGGAATGCATGAAAAAAAATTCACCTTCCATCTTTTTCCACATTCATTGCAAAGAACGAAGGTAGTCATTGGTTCATCTGCAGATCTCGTTTGTACCTTAGAACACAAAACTAAATTTAGTCTAATACTCATAGAATTTACTGCTAGTATGTTATAAGCAACAAAAGTGGCTTCAAAAAGAGCCCTGTGGAACAGTCAATCAACTTGATATTATTTTAAAGCAAAAGAAAATGTAACGGAAACGAACAAATAATAATATACATCATAAACATAAATAAATATAGTGAAGATATGAAATACAATGCCACAAAGTAAGAGATGATCGGAAGGGAAGATTTGGAAATCAGAACGAAAATGTTTGAAAAAGCTCACAATGAAGAATTCAATGATACAAATGGACCATGCATGCAGTTGTAAAATTATGCCAAATCTTTGCTAGACGCAAATGAAATAAACGATTTTCCTGACAGTAAAAGTATGATGACCTCATTATGAAAAATATTGACATCACTATATTACTATACACCACTATATAATGCTGTCAAAATAAGCATTAAAAATGTGACATTGTGTCTAATTATATGTCTTTCTCCTTGCAAAATATTTTACGAGTATTGTATGCTAGAAAATACATTTTAGTTGCAAAAAATTTGACTAGGGAAAAGACAGGGACAATCGTTTTCCGCATAAGCAAAAAAAATCAGGCTCAATGTCAGATTGTCTATCTGTATGCTCGTTCTCCTTAGCTTAGTAATCGAACTAAGGTGCTCTATACCGCGTTACGCCACTGACATTCCATTGTTACTGGCTCACTGCTTTCAAGCTTTTGCAATTGACAAATAATTGTTGGAAAAGACTACATCGCCCCCCCCCCCTATTTAATTTATCTTGAAGATTTGTCCATACCTGGTTATAAGTGCAATTTCGTTTTCCGCATTTGCCACATTTGAACTGGTCTGTCCCCGTACCACCAGTAGTGGCTAATTGATGGTCCTTGATTGCCTGTTTGGTAATATCATCTCGTATCTTTCGCATCTCGTCGCTAGCCATCTCCTATCAAGATACGTTCACCAATTTAAACCGGAGGTAAAACATTAGTAGCAGTAGTGTCAAAATTTGACCCAATGAAATGAAAACTTTGGATAATACGAAAAACAATGAAAGCCGTTTGGGAAATAATTTTACATCTGGGAATATCTACCCAAGATGGCGGTCTATAAATGATCCTTAAGCATTAAGTACAAAACAGACACAAAGGAATTCCAGTTTCACAGTCAGGGCTATCTGGTAAAAGCATTCAATGTCTAAACATCAAGGTTAATGTCCATTGCTTGGTCAAAGGAGAAACCAATCAGGCGCACCATTATTCTCTTGGGTAAATGTAAGTCTCAAAGTGGAACAAATTTTCTGTCACCTTCGATAATTATCCGATTATTTATACAAAGGATACTTGCAGTATGCAAAAGGATGGATCCATTTTCGTTTGCAATTGTAAAATTTTGCAGTATATAAAGAACAGCAAGACTAAAATTAAAACCGTACAGCGATTTTTAAAATTTTGTTATCCAGTTGGAAATAAGTGCTTACCGGTCGGGTTGTACACGCTTTTGGTGCATAAAGTAGGAAAGTTTTGAGCTGCATCTCTAAGTTTCATGCTTAATGCTATCATTAGGCTAGTTGTGTATCTACGCAAGATCAATAGGTTTCTCTGTGGATGGAAAAAACCACTTACCTCCGGCTTCATGACTGCGAATCTTTGTGCAGTAATACTTCCAGTCAGGACATTTCTTTTAAGAAGAGGGTTTTTCTTATCCCGAAGATTCATGACTCTGCTTTTAACACGATTTCTGTACTTCATTCCACTGTCTTTAAAATCAAGAAATATTGCTGGTAGAGAGTTAAGGCACTCATGCTGATAAGAATTGAAGTCCTTTCTACTGAGTGTAATGTTTATCAGTACTTTATGAAGACAATGACTTCTTGGAAAAACTTACAAGATAAGGGTATGGGCATAGAAGTTCAGAAGCATTTGGTAATGTCTTCTGAGCCACAATTATAGCTAGAGAGTTTAGCTAAGCTAAGCTAAGCTAAGCTAAGCTAAGCTAAGCTAAGCTAAGCTAAGCTAAGCTAAGCTAAGCTAAGCTAAGCTAAGCTAAGCTAAGCTGAGAGAGAGAGAGAGAGAGAGAGAGAGAGAGAGAGAGAGAGAGAGAGAGAGAGAGAGAGAGAGAGAGAGAGAGAGAGAGAGAGAGAGAGAGAGAGAGAGAGAGAGAGAGAGAGAGAGAGAGAGAGAGAGAGAGAGAGAGAGAGAGAGAGAGAGAGAGAGAGAGAGAAAGAGAGAGAGAGAGAGAGAGAGAGAGAGAGAGGGAGAGACATTGGTCGCGATAGCAATGACGTCATGACTGATCCACCCTATCCTCCTCAAGAAACTTACACGGAGTGGAGCCTGTTTGTTCCAAAAAGACTTAGGCAAAGAGATGACTTGTCTTTGAGATCTACCATAAATTTTGTACATGCTGGTCAGAGTTGACGTCTGCCGGCCAATGGTATTTGATGATGGACTTGTGGTTTAAGGACTACTCAAAGCGATGTCAAATGGAAAGACATATTTTAATGAAAGAACTGGAAAAAAGGGTAAATGAATTGAAAGCTTTGGATCAGAATAAGAATGCAGTAAAGATATCAAATATAATATCATACTTTTGTAGTTTTTGTGAAATAAAAAGATATTGATTAGTATATTGGTATAACACACTAATTATCATAATAGTACTTAGTCTTGGAAGAGATAGGTTATATAGCTTAATTGTTTCCTGCTTTCAAAAAGAGAGGTTCGTCAGAGAAGGGGAGCTTAATACAAAACTTAATGTAAACACTAAATTACAACAAACATGAGTACCTAAGGTTTGCTTCAACAAAAGGATGTCTTGCTAAAATTTTGGCAATAATGTTGTACTTGTTGATATTTTTTAAAAACATATGCAAAAATGACCTCTTCATCTATCATTCAAAGAAATTTAGTAGATACAGAATTAGATTGGTAACTTGGTAATATTCATTGTACAAAAAGGATACCCTCTTCAATATGTGCTGCTACATCTTGTACATTTATCTCTGAAATAAAGGGACAAAGGATTGCCATAAGACTTTAAGCTTTAACTGAAAATCCAAACTTATCCAAATTCTCAAACAAAAATCCTCAACATAAAAGCTTTGTACCTAGATTTGTAAACAATAATCCACCTATCCTCCTAACCTAGTGTACAATCTAACGGAATGGCATCATTGCCTGGAACAATTCACTCGCAGGTATAAATTACAAAGAACATTTCTGAGTTCCGGTAGTAGAATTTATGTGACAAATGCTTTATTCCCCATTCTATTACTTTTCTACTTGGCGATGTTAATAAAGGGTCACGAGCCTAATACTGGGCCTTAACAAGGAGAAGATCGAATAAAAGGGATGACTAAAAATCATCTAGGAAGCCAGCCAACTATTTCTTAGCAGTCATATTTTGATTGTGGTTCAGCTTGACGTCTTCTAACAATGGATGTAATTTATCAGTAGAAAATGGTTAGCTAATAGGCCACAACGCATCTATATATAAGGGCCTGCAATTTCAAAGGGGACATGCTTCTAAACAGGGGATATAGGGTACTTCCTATAGCTTTATGAAATCATCTATATTCTTTGTTGCACACATAATGTCTAAACTTTGTACTTAAATCCATGCACAAGGACACCAATAATAACACGGAGAATGATTTGCTTTGCAGGCCTTTGTTATACAGTGGATCAGCTGAAGATACAACAAGGATGTTGTTTATGCATACCAAGATCATCCTCTCCCTTTAATGAGTTCTCTAACATCTCTCTGCACTTCTGTCGCACTGCAACATCACCTTTGATTGGTGGAAAAGCTACAGCTTCTTTTGAATTGCTCCTATTCAGAGATTTGATTCCATTTCCATTTGGCTTAAAATAAACAAAACGATCAATTAAATTTCAGGACTAAATTTGGAAGTCATTCCAAAAATCTTGTTGATAAATGCTAGAGAATTAAGACAGGAACTAAAAAAGCTTCACTTACACAAATACAAGTTCAAGTATTGGCATATATGTTTTCTACATTAAATGGGGAAGCAGTGGCTGCCAGTTAGACACTATCATTAAATGATGCTTCCCACATAAACTCTCTATAATTTAAAAAAAATTTGGTGTATGAAGATCATGAGGTACAGGAGGAATAGCTGGTACAAGATTGGAAAGAAACTTTGCCCGCAGCATCCAAAACATTTAAACACTTAGAGATCCAAAACATTTTAACACTGACAACTACAAACAATTCAGACCCCAACCAAGCTTGTGTACTACCCTCAAACTGATTGAAAATGTGAGAAAACAAAGTTTTCATAGAAAACAAAATTCAGTCCATCCTACCTCACTAATCGCTGCTGCAGCCTGGCTGATGTTCGATGAAGTTGACATGTTACTTTCAGATGAATTACGAGGCAAGCTAGGGCTTTCACATTTATCTTGCGATTTTGTTAAGCCTTTCGCCTTTTCTTGGCTGTCTACAATAAATCAGGGCAGCAGTAAGCTAACGTTTCTCAATATTCCTAAAAGTTCATATCAAATAATGCTTTATAATTGACAGATGATACTTTTGAAACAGTGAGGTGACCTTTTAAGATCAACCCAAACATATCACTAAGAGGAAGAAGTATCATAAAAAACAATTTATACATATCAAATAAACATCAAAACCTTTATAAAATTCCTTTTAACGATTCTGTTTCAAAAATTAAGAAATTTTTAAATTTTATATTTGGTTATTAAATTCTATAAAAGTATAAAAACTATCAATAAATGGAATAGCAATAGGGTTCTTTTGAATGTTTTTTTTGTCATTCATATCTGATTCCATCCTTTCCATGAATATCTTTACAACATACTATTACTTCTCTGGTAAGTCACAGTAGTTCAGCTACCTATCAAGCTTTTTTCTTTTGGCAAAGTATATATTGGCTTGATGACATCACCAAAATTGTCATCAAAAAGAGGTCAAGGTACTAGATTGTTACAGAATTAAACATACTTACTCAATCACTTAGTCATAAGAAATGCAGACAAAAATTTGCTATTTGTAGAATAAGAAACTTTTGGCTTATTCCAGAAAACCACGTTCCTGACAAAAATGATAGTTTTGGTATGAAATAATGTCCACAGGTGATCACATGACTCCTATAACTTTGTCTGTATTGACACCACTTTGAAGAGCAATACATTTGAATTTCAATGATAGAACGTCATTTTAAGCAAAATACCTAATAATTTTTTCCAATTTTTAATCAAAGATTTTGCAAGTGCTTGCAGATCCTCTTTGGTGCTCGCTTTTCGTAATACATTCACAGACATCCCTATTCTTGTTTTCTGCAAAAAAAGGCAGATTACCTATTAAACAACATGCTAACAGCTACAACACAAATCACAAAAGCAATAAAAGGCACAATATTCCACTGCATCTTGATGGCAATTAAACTTCTAATTGGTTGGACTATACAATAGATTTAATGCTACATGTCAATCAGTAAAGACTAATTCTCAATCTTTACTCAATTACAAACGCACCATAGAACCTATTGTTACTACAATTTAGTTTGTGTAAAGAAAAATAAAATACCTGTAGGATATCCAAAGTAACTGGAATATCTTTAAGTTTCTTCAGACTTTCCATTGCTTGAGCGCTGTCCTAAAAGTTGATGAAGAAACAGTTAATGCACATCTTCATGGAACAAGCTAACAGCTGAATGCATATGTATAAAAATGTAAAGTACAAGCAGGCACCTTGGAGCAGGGCCCCCCAACTTTTGGCAAAAAAATTCTAAATATTGAGTGATGAACTACCAGAAAAGTCTCTTTTTATTTGGTTTTAGCCTCCCCCTCATTTTTCTAGACCACCCACTATTCCCAAGGCTCTCCGGTGTCTGTCTATAGATGGACTTCAGATCTCTCTCTGATGTCTGAGTCTCTCTGATGAGAGCGTAAGCGTGAAACTCAGAGTAACAGCAAACACATCTCATTTTTGGCCTAACACCTACTTGCTCTTTGCTAGTTCACATCAAGCACATTTAAGTTAGAAAAGACAATGCAATCTGAGATACATGTATCAAAAATATATGTACTTATGTGCGAAGTAGGCATAAATCTATTTCAGATACTCAAAAAACTAAAAATGCATATTTGATATCTTAAAGAATTTCCAACATATTTGTAAAGGATTATAATTTGTTACAAGGATTACCAACAAATATAAATTTGTTGTAGTCAGATTAATTTTTATCAATATTGAAAAAAAAACTTAGTAAGTTAAGAATCATGTATATCCTAATGAAATGCGGCTAATTCTGTGAATGATATCAAAGCCAATTATAAGTACATTTTGTGACTTTTAAAATAGCATTGCCTATCAAAATTACCTGACAAAATAACAAAGTATGTGTGCCAAACTATTTTTAGCAATTTTAAAAAATTCACAAGAACTATAACAATCAACTTTCTTGAAAAGTAAACTTAAATGACATGCTTATCTTTGGTGATCAGCAGTGATTAAATCTTAGTGCAGCTAGTTATATTAGCATCAACAGTACAGCACCTCTCTGAAAACATCTAGCTGCATGGGTAAGACATCAGTGAACTGGCTTACTTGCAACTTAGCAATATTCGCAGACTACATTATAAAAAAGAATATGGAAACAAATAAACTCAAAGCATTAATTCTAACTGACAGTATTTATGTCTGGCTTAGCATTTTGTAATCCCTAGGTATTGAAAGTCTCTATAAAAGTTTGAGCATAAAATAGTTTGACTTTAAAACTGGCTTTAAAACATCAAACAAAAGCCAACATTTTAAAACATATTATCAGCTTTTTTGACATTCCTTAGAGCATAAAACATAACAAATAATGATTAAAAATACTACGAAAAATATATTATACTTGGGTGTGATCAAAATAGGCCAATCAGAAACATGTGTTCATAAAAGTTCAAGTTGCGAGATTATTGCCACTTGCAATAACCTGTGATATCCCAAGGTGGAAAAAACACCTTCTGCCCGTATAAAAGTGGTCTTTTCATTTCTATAAACACAAATTCTATCATTGATAGATTGAATGATGTTAAGGCTCTGCCAATAAACTGAAACATATTCCCATTATATATTTAGCTTTTGGCACAATCTTGACTTTCTAATAGATTTTGCCCAATAGAATGACAATTTGCATTGCTGTTACTAAATCTGTAACACTGAGGATGAGGTTCTCTTAGGCAGGTTGTTACTTTAGAAGAGAAAGGCTGTTTTTTTCTACCCTCCAATCTTTGGGTTTTGCATCCTATGCAACCAGAATAAAACTGGCACAGAAAGTCGAACATATCAGAAATCTTTGCATTTCTAGGGAGGCAGTCTTATTGAATGAATGGGAAGGCTCACCTTGTACTGTAAAGAGTACAAGAACTGACAGCAAAGAAACATAATATCTTGTTTAAAGCTGACTTTGAAGAATTCCTAGACCTTTATACTAGACAGTTTGCAGAGTATGACAATTCTAGACAAGATCTCACGCGAGCACTGTCATTTCGGCTGTGTGCGTCACGTGCCAATCACTGTTTACAAGTTATCATGCTTGTAAGCACAGCATTTCCAGGAAATCAGCCTCAATTTACTGCCCAGGGTGATCTCATTGGCTTTTTGTACCCTGATATTGATGACCCAGATATTGAAACACTTGGTTGTGCCATGTAATAATTATAAATTAGCATGGCTTTTCACAAGCAATTTGCTGCACCATCATAATGGCATTCTACTTAGCATTTTTAAGAATACTATAAATTTGGTCAAGCCTTGATATTTTTTTGAAAATATTCCATTTCAAGTCTGAATGAATTCTTAAAGAATTTTTGTTTCTTTTTTGTTTTATTACCTACCCAATAGGGCCTTGAGCTACAAACAATTTCAGCATTAATCTCCAAGTACCTTGCTCTTTTAGAAATTTTTAAATATATAAAAGCTAATGGTAGGCCAAGATATCATGCAAACAATTTTTCCTGTGTGTTATTCTTAATTTCCAAGCCCTTTGAGAGATACTGTCCCGATCTCAAAATCCAATAATGTTGGATAAACTAAAAAATATATCAGCAACAACAAGAAAGCAATCAAAACTTTGAAAAAGCTTTCTTCTTGTGAATATTCATCTATGAAAAAGGTCATATTAGTAGAAACTGCTTCAAAAATTGCATTTTCCAGCGAACTAGAGACACGCAAATTCAAAAACTTTCAAACCCTTCTGTGGTAACTATGGTGCCACCTTGAGTAAGAGGTAAATTGCGTGCTTGTCCTGATATGCAGATGTAAAGTGTTTAAGGCTGATATAAAGAATCTGAATATATTCCATTTAAGCATCCGCATGAAATACTGAATGCTTGTGAATATACTTAGTGTTCATTTCTCCAAATACATTTAGTCCAAGTGTGCCTTTTAAATTTTGCTCTCAATTTCAATATTTGGTGTGCTAAGCTAGCCATTCTAAAATGATATCACCTGTGCATTTCCCATACTCTGCAGACTGGTATAGAGGTATATATCTCAAGTTGCGAAAATTCAAGAGACCTCTTAAAAAGCTCCCAAATAGGCCCATAGGATTTAATACATGGTAATAGGGTACATGTAGCTGCAATCAACAATACCCTATCAGCTGCAAACTGCAGTCAAATGCACCTGGGCTGTGAGCAAAATGCACATATATATGCAGTGGCGAAGCTAGCGGTCATGCTGGTCATGCTGAGCATGACTAAAAATTTTCAGAGCTAAAGACATTTATTATAATGATTAAAAATTTTCTTTATTGAAAAAGTACCCTCAAAACTCCATTCGTCCAGTTGATTCTTATTATTTCACTGCCCTTCCCTACCTTGGTCCCTTGTGGTTAGTCATGCTCATTCTGGAGAGCATGACCTGCCATAGGGTTTCTTTCCTCAGAGAGCCCAACCGCTCCTGTGAGTCGGCTGAGTTTCAATGACTTTTCAGTTGGTATCCCTGCGGTAAGTCATGCTCATTTGGAATAGCATGACCTCGTCATTATAATCATAAACCTAGCACTGATTTGATTGGCTGAATTCTATCTTGCGCATGCTATCTTGGCCCGTTTTGGACCCCAAGTCATGCTCATTTTTTTCAGCATGACCGACCTAAATCTCCCATACATGAAGTATCTAAGGTCTACTTGTGAGCTGAGAAACATTGCTGCAAGGGAGTGGGGAAATTCAATCGAAGCTATTTCCGAGAGATATATTGTTTATTAACTGCTACAGGGATCACTTGCGTGTGGCTGAGCAAGGTAATTGTAAACCAAAATTGTAATTGAAAACCAAAGGCCAACCCTTATCGATGAAGAATCCTACCACTACGTTGCTGATCATACCATAACTTGTTGCTGATGGACGAACTTGTACCCTGAAACTTGCTTGTGTATTCAGTATTTCACCAAAACCTCTTGCTCATGGAATTGTACTCTTGAAAATTTCCTGTTTTGTCAAAATCACACAATAACCTGTTGCTGATGGATGGAATTTTACATGATGGATGAAAATTGCCTGTCCATTCTATCTGGTTTATTCAATATTACAACCTTATTTGTTGCTGAGAGGGACGAACTTGTACTTTGAAAACTTGCCTGTTTATTCAATATTTCACCAAGACCTGTTGTTGATAGAAAGAATTGTGCTCTTAAAAATTTCTTGTTTAGTCAATATTACAACATAACTTGTTGTGTATAAAATAAAATTCAAATTGCATCTTGCAATTTGCCTGTTATTTAATATTACACCATAACTTGTTGCTGATAAATGAAATGGTACCCTGAAATTTGCCTGCATTCAATATTACACCAACTCTTTTTTTGATAAATGAAATTGTACTCTTATATTTCCTTGTTTATTCAATATTACACCATAACTTTTGTTGATAAATGAAATTGTACCCTTAAATTTGCTTGTTTATTCAATATTACTCTATAACTTTTGTTAATACATGTATGTAATTTGCATTGTACCCTATGCAATGCAAATGTATTGTACCCTGTAATTTGCCTGTTATTCAATATTACACCATGACTTGATGCTGATAATGAAATTGCACTCTGGAACTTGCCTGTTATTGGATATTTGACTATAATTTGCTGATGGATAGAATTTAGAAATGATTTTTAATCACACTATATATGTAGCTTCCACACAGCCAACCTTCTCAGTGCCGTTTGATTTCCCCAGGGCTTTCGGTTGCCAGGAAAACTATGGGGTTTCTTAAACATGGAAGACCAAAGTTATAGGAAAGCCCTTGATGTTGGGCTTGGACTTAACTTGTTGATGTCTATGGCATGTTACACCTTAAATACAGGGGTCAAAACTTTTTGTATATGCTAAACAGTACTATCCTTGATACATTTGTTTTAGATATGTAAAAATTAAGCTTATAAAATTGAAGCTAAGTATAAAATTCTGAACCAAGAAACAAGCATCCCACAATTCCCTGTATCATAAACAAGGGAGGGCCTACCTATCACTGAGGGCTTATCTTGCCTAATTCATCTTAATTCAGAAACATCATCAAAAGTCTCAATAATTAATAGTAAGAGAATGGATATTTCTTAGCCCTTGCTGATTTGAATAAGCTGATTTATCAAAAGTTTAGATTTTGAAAAATATTTGTAGATATAATATTCTCTCATCTGCAATGTTTTTCCAGTATGATCAGTAGTGTTTGTTGGGGGTTTTCAAATGCACAATTTTTCAAAAACATTGTCCCAAAGATATTTCCAAAACACAACATTGGAGAATGGGGTGGAAAGAACATTTAGATGTTGAAGTCCTTGACATCATTGATTGCGATCTAAACAAGAGCTATTTGATTCAATACACTAAAAAGGGCGTTACCCCCCTTTTCCGAGCATCTATAGGGTGTGGTTGTGTGTAATTTTCCTGGGGGCTATGCCCCCAGACCCCCATCCCCTTTCTCTCCCATACAAAGCATGACCATTGACTTAAGGCCAGCTTCGCCACTGTATATATGTTTATATACCATGTATATATACAGACTAAAGTACAATTCATCTGATTTGATTGATTTTGTAGGTCAGTAGCAAGGGCAAGAAATTCAGTGTAGCTGCTCAGACCACATGAAAGTTTTATGGGCATCTAGAACTTTCTAAATTTTTGATCATTCTTCTGGCATCTCACGCAATGAGTAGTGTCAAGTGTCAGACGAAAACCATTTTGTACTAAGAAAATATTGCTTTGTTCACAATGTCATTCAATAATTAAGAAAAGATTTCATGATATTTTGCTGTTATTTTCATTATCGTCTTAAATTTATGAGGATACCGTTTCTACTAAGAGAAAACTGGGGGTGACGGGTTGAGAAGGGGGCGACGTGTGTGATATCGATACACCAGTAGTAGTAGATATCTGAAATCTTTAAATTCCCAATGTAAGCAGTGCATTGAAAAAATTATGTTTCCCATTACCGCTTGCCCTTGCTCCACAAGTTTTTCCAATCTCTTTCCAATTCCTGAAACTTCGTCTTCAACAGCTGACATCGTGGCTAAAAATCCAAAAACAGCAGCCTAATAAAAACAAATGGCCTTTCTGCAAGAAAACCGAAAGTTCCGTCACCGTTTATGAAGGATATCTCACTAGCAAGAGAACTGAACGTTCTTGACTGCTATTCGCACTCAATTCGATCTTTAATACTGTTTAAAGTGCTGTTGTTTCGTTACTTTAAGCACATGAAGACACGTTGTATCTTGAGTGGCAGTCGATCCGCCACTTGTCGATGCTCGATGTGAATGAAAGTTAGATTCAATGAGCATGCGTACTGAGAAAACCGCTGACCGTGTAGTACAAAATGTGCACAAAATTTGGCGGCAAAAAGCGTGGAGTTAGCACTACTCATATTGAAGGGGGTAACGGGGAGCTCATTTTCGGAGGTCAACATTTTAATGGTCACATGCTTTGTTTGCTATAAACTTTCGATAAAGCCTGATTAAAAACTAGAACATTATTGTTTTCTTCGTGTTTCACCGATTTTAATTCCCTCAATCACGGTGATACCCTTTTCTCCCACTCAGTCTTCACCAGGGACCCGCCGAAGGAGGGGCATGGCCTTTTGTTATTTGTAATAAGCTTTCCCTTGCCCCTACCCCCATTTTCCAACATGTGTCGGAGCCCATGTTGATCTCATTCATTTCACTTGAAATTGAGGGAGTTTGGGGGTAGCCCTGCTAATAATTTGACCAAGAAACATTATCAAGTTGCAAGCATGCATGGAAACTATTATAAAGCTAAGGCTACTCAATATGTTAACTGTCGTTACACTAAAGTATTAAATTTAAATTTCAGATCCAGGGCCAACAGGTTCGGGGCCATTTGACCATGACCCTTAACATTATGCTAGTAACAATTTTTGAGATTTTTCTTTCTAATTTCTACATTTCATCAACGGTGAACATTTTCCTATTTTACTCACCCCTTTCATTCATTCTTTCGTCCAATTCCAAGAAAGTATCTGTTTGTCCTGCAGATCTCAATTACAGGTGCAATTAGAGATGCGAGTGCAAATCACTGTTAGACACTCTTTTGCATCTTTGGTTGAAAACCTATTATTTTATCGGAAAATCCTTCGAAATTCTGTACGCTATTTGCAGAAGTACACAGCCCCTCGAAAGATACAGGATATTCTTTGGTTTGGGTTAGAAAAGAGAAGCTGTGATAGACCCGGGTTGAAATTGCCTAAAAGGAATTTTCAGAAATTTAATGCCTAAGTGCAACTAACACAAGATTGTTTGTCTACTCCCGATCACAAAATGGCAGCGGTGAATTTTGAATCTATACTGATTTATACCCTGAGAAAAAAATTTTTGCTCATCTGGTAGCACTCTGTTTTAAAGAGTTTTCCAAACATCTTGTGATGCCTTATCGGTTTCAATTGGGCTTTTCCATATACTTAATTTCGCTTAAAGTGTAAGGACTTAGTGTAAGCATTAAATCATTATTACACCTTTTTGAGAATAGGGTAACTTTGCCAACCATGGGGGATAAACTTTGCCTGTTAAGTTGTCAAGTCAGGAGACATGGCATATCCATAAAAGATCTAAAATCATCATTATTAAAATTCAAGAGGTATTCGCACGATTAAATGTTTTGTTCCATTTACTACCATGGGTGGGATACGTAGACCTTTTACATTGTGATGGAGAAGGGAGGCCAAGGGTAATAACAAGAAATTGACTTACTTCCAAAGACAGATGAATCGCGAACAGTTCTTCGACATCTTTACCTCCACCAGGCAGTTTCACCACCCACCTGATAATTTTCTGTGGTCAACGTACGTTTTCCCCTCACTATACACGGACATTTTACACAGTAAGCAAGTTTCACAATTGATGAGTTGACTTTTAAGTTAAACTGATCTTCAAAACAACAGTTACAATAAGGCATTCTTGCAGAAAAAGAGGCCTTTTAAATACAAAAAAATTAAATAAAATAAATCACACATTTTTGGTTCAGCAAGCACATTTTGCAAGTGAGAAACACACCGAGTTTTCTAACTCTCCGACTGTCTTAAGTCATTCTAGATCCCACAGCTCCGAATAAATGTAGAAAATTTTCTGAAAAAATACGAATCTTTGCACCAGTATGAGGTATTCGCTAAAAAATCACACAGAGAGTAATACAATCTAAATTCAGATTTATCTGATATTTACATTTCGCACACTGAATTATATTAAACAGCTACTCTGGAAATAAGATAAATATCGAAACATATATATTTCAGGTGTCTAGAACAGGGTCAATCTTAGATGCTCTCCCGCTGAGCCTTCGTAGGCATAAAAGCAAAATACACAGGAATAATATAATAGCTATCAATTAAAAAAACACTTGATCGACCAAATGGGTTACATTGTTACCATAATCTTTGGCTTTTAGCAAATTACTCATAAATCAACTTTAAGAAGAAAGCCTCTTTTGAAGACGATCTCTTACGAAACGTAAAGTTATCTTCAGAGTTTAACTTACAAGAAAATAGTTCGAACGTAGGTGACATTTACCAAATTGAGTCAAAGTAAAGGTAATAATAGCATGTCCTGTTTTTCTGGAGACGTACATAGTGGGTAGGCAAAATATGACCAGGTACTTTGCTCTTACTTGACCCTGGGAGGGATGGTATCAGGTTTACTGATAAAATTCCATGATTGTCATTGGATAAGAAGTCCAACTTTAGCCAAGTTTATCTGGGAAAGTTAACAATCAAAAGTTGGAGAAGTGATTTTGTCCTACTTCTAGCTTGGATGAAATTTGATTGAGTTTCTCTGCAGAATGGCCATGCTTCAAAAAGGATAAAAAGTCCAAGCTTGTTACTAAGGAATATTATTGCGAGTGAGTCAGGTTCTTCCAATTGATTGAGTATCTGAATGGACAAAAACCCTTGTCTATATATATAGCCTCGCATGTCTACATTTTCTGAGTTAGCTCGTCTGAGGGTGGAAAAAGCCTGACATTGAACCAGGACATCAACATTTACGGGAAACCTACTAGGATTTTTGTACCTAAAGAGGAACTAACCCATAGTTAAGATCCTCAGGGTAAGCTATCTACAAAAACTACTGAACATTTGAATATACGCTCTATCAAATACTGCAACCGCTAGCTACAAAGATAACGAAACAATTACTACCTTTTTCTAAATCAAGAGTCATTTTACCCTTTATATGCAGCCCCAGGGACGAATAACTTGATTTTAATCAGTATGGATACGATGATACTGAGATTTTTACGAATCAATATAGGGGTGATTGATGGTATTTGTCTTGCCATGACTGGGAAAGGGGGGGGTATTGAAGCAATAGTGACATAGAAGAACATAACGAGCAATATTTTCCCAACCTCAAAAAATTAAGGCGTAATAATTTGGTGCAGCAAGGGGTCAACCGGATGACCACTGCACCCAAAATCTAACGTTTGGTGCAGCTGGCAATTCTGACAAAAACGCAGGCGCTGCATTTTAAGTTCAAATAAAACACTATCGCTATTTCATTAAGAACTTTTCATTTAGTTCTATACACAGTCAAGCAAGAATTCACCGAGGGGCATTGTAGACCATTTTGGCATACCAATTTTAGAATAAAAACAAAGCAAAAAGATCACATATCTAGCAACACCAGATACTCATTCGTATAGCCTATCCTAAACATTTGTACACAGGGAAAAGAAACGGAGAGAGGCTTGTAGTGGGGGCTAGTGATAAGTTGTAATCAATGGCAAGTTGTTTACACTTATCATCTTATCATCTCTGTTATCCTCTGATTATCTACGAGCAAGGAAAGGGGTAAATGGATTGACGATATAACGGATAGTTATCGAGAAAGGCTGCCATCGGTGCTCATGAATTGGTTCTTCATTTAACGTTAAGGAAATATATAGAATCGTTATAAGCAGAAATAAAAGACGCTTTTTAGTCCGTTTACATTCAGACCATTACAAACACAACTTTAAATTCTTGACAGTTCGTTAAGCGCACATATCCATGATTTATATACTCCCCTTGACTAACGTTTAAGAAAAAAAAACGCCTCCACAGTCAATTGTGGCATTTAAAACAACTCCAGGGATTTCTGCAGCTAAAATCCAACTGGGCAATATACGTTTTCATCATCAAACGGGACATGCTTGGAATTCGTGATTCATCCTTCGTTTTAGCCCCTGTCTGTAAATAATGGGCGTAATTTCTCAAGTGCATGGCTTTGAAAAGAAAAACAGAACTTTTTCTCTGTGTTGTTAAAAAGATAGGTGTGCTAGCAAGATATCTAGTCTAGACCAAGTGCATATCCAAAATTAACTACACACATACCTGACTGTCTTCAGGTAAACTGATCTTTCGTCAAAAGATCCGGGGAAGGGCTGCAAGGTGGTCACTGGAGTCTACCTGGCGCTCGAACAGAGCCGCGAAGGAGCTGTCGCTTTTATTTACAAAGATTCTTATAGTACTTTGACTTGATAAATCGAGGGAAACAGTCTAATGACATCAAATTATAAATGTAGTTCTTGGCATTGAGAAACAGATCAGGATCACCCGAATCTAAATTGTCCTCTATGTGTGCACGAAGTTTTGCGTCGATACTGACCTGTGGGAGAAGAAAAATAGCCTCAGAATTCCTATTAAGGAAGGCTAGAGAACGATTGATAGACAAATTATCTGACGGAGAGACGTTATAACAGAAATCTAAGGAGTAAACGGAGATAAATGAGCGACTTGCATTTCAAAGATCACTGCAAGCCCGACCCAACACATTTTGACATTTAAAGAAGAAAAGTTAAAGAAGACGAAAAAATAGAAAATGAATGGAGGAAAAGAGGAGGAAGAGAAGAAAGACAAGTTTCTAGAAGGGGATGTTGAAAGTCCGATTCAAAGCATTAGACAATATGACATTTAAAGAAGATAAGGAGGAAAGGGAGAGGGTGAAGAGGAAGGAAGATAGAGGGTGAAGAGTAAGTAAAGAAAGGAGACGAGCAAGTGGTATAGGCAGAAAATAAAGATAAAGAAAATAAAAAGAGAAGAAGATGAACGAAAACGATAAAATACAGAAAACAATAGGAAGTATAAAAAGTGAGAGGTTGATAAAAAGTTAGAAGGAGAAAGAGAAAAAGAAGCAAAAGAAAAAGATGAACAAATTTCAAAGCCAGATCTGAACAACTTAATGACTTATAAGGTGGATGTATTTGTATTGTTTTGTCGCTTTTCTGAGGTCTTGCTATACTTGCTATATTCAAATATCAAAGTTTGGCTACGATGTGTCGATTTTTGAATTTTTCTGTAATTAGCTCATATTATTCTAGTTTTGGATAAATAAAATTGCAATTTTTTCATTAGCTCCCTGAAAAAACAGCTTTGCCTTAGCTGAGATAGTATTTTGGGCCATAAGAATGGACAATGAATGAATGAATGAAAAATAAAACGAAAGTTCCAGCTCTTTTTGCCAATTGGCATTTTCTAGATCAAGTGAAGGAACATAAGCTGAAAATTCAAAATTGAAAGTAACCCTATTTAAAATCAACTCTAGGTTGTTCGTCTTTGCTGCTGTTAAAGTTAGATAAAATTGATGATATTCTTTAAATTAGCGTCAATTAAAAGGGAGGGTTTCTTCTGGCCATAAAATACCTTTAGCCAAAAATAGAAAACTGTGATTTTCGAAGCTGCGATATATCCAGCCTGGGTGCCAAAGCCACATAGAGTCAAGTGAAGAAATGGAAAAGCGTAGAGGTGGAAGAGCGTTCGATTTAGCTGACCCAGAGGCGGCGCCAGCTACCTTCTAGGGAGAGGGGGATGGTGGACAAAAGAAAAATTTTTAGACCACGCCAATTTTTACTGTTAGAAAACGTCCCTCTACCAATTTTGCCTATAGAGAAGGCTCACTGCTAACTTTTGATTTCATAAAGCCAGTTTCAAAATCATTGGTTTACATCGCAAAAAATACTTTGCAAAAATATTACCCCTTCCCACAAATACTCTTCTCGAATTAAGACGAAATACAAAATCGATCCTGCCGAGAACTGAGAGGCGTGTCTCCCCCATCCCCTCCACTGTGGGGCCGCTACTGATTGATTCAAATTACCGAAGGGACAGGGGAGACGATCCTACACGCCTTCAGACGTCTCTTAAAACAGAAAACGATTCTTACCTCACAAGGAGAAATAGTCGATATAAAATCTTCGTAAACTTTGCGGGCTGTTTCCTTTCTTTCATCTGGACTCCTCGACTGGTAATCATCAGCTGCTAGCCAAAATCGTAAGTTTTCATCACTGTATTGTGATTGTAAGAATTCTTGGAATAACTTTCTACCAACTGCAAGCAACAAGAAAAATCGTGAATATGAAATATCTAAAGGATAGTCACTTGGTGGTCATTTGCATACTAGCAAGTGCAAGTCACATTTTTAAGGAGGTCATCCCCTGAGCAATGCTGTTGTTAAGGAGCCTTATACTATAAAAACATTAAAAATAACGCTACAAGTGTCGTGAAAGGGGGGGGGGAGACTAAAGTGCCAAACCTAGCATCAGGTAAATTCTAATTTTTTTCTTTTAACTTTTATCACTAGCCACAGACAGTCAGATTACTTTCCCAGAGATTCTCTTTTCAGGAAATTGATTAAATATTTTGTTCAGCATTTACATCAGAAAACTTTGCCAAATAAACAAACGTATTTCAGGATTGTATGATTAGAAATCCTTGTCCTTTAATAAGACCAAATAAGATATGCTTATTAGCTGGAAAATGATTAAAGAGAAAATCTCGCGAATGATACAGCAGACATTGAGAGCTAAAGAATGAGAACAGCTCGTTGAAACTGTGTTTGAATTTACCTGGTGATTCCATTAGCTTATCGAAACTCGCTGACCAGCTCTTTGCCTCCTCTTTGCAAGGACTATAAACAGAGAGATTAGTACCTTATCTTCCATTGAACCAAATAAATAAATTAATGAAAATGAACTTCTTTCAGTGTCATATACAATCAACATTTCATTCTTTTTGGTAGTTTTTCACTTCATCTCCAAACAATTTTTTAACGAACACTGGAAAGTATTGAACAGATGAAAGAAGCGACATATTATTTAGGAAAGAACAACCGCCTATTTCGACACAAACCAGCAAAAACCATCTTAGGGCAAAACACACAAGAAATTTTAAGCTGTATTAACATTGAAGTGTTGTTGCTATGGAGAGCTCAATACCCTTCCTTGTAGATTATGGAAGTTCTTTTGGTAATCGGGAGTGTTGACAAGCTGACTGCTTGAAGAACATAGATTCTTATTTTTCCCTTCTGTACAAAGGCAGTAAACACCCTTTCAGAACCTTGCCTGTATCCTTAAAATTAGATTTGTGGTTTTGACATAAGAGTACTTTGGCTAAAAGAAAGAAAGAAAGAAAGAAAGAAAGAAAGAAAGAAAGAAAGAAAGAAAGAAAGAAAGAAAGAAAGAAAGAAAGAAAGAAAGAAAGAAGGAAAGAAAGAAAGAAAGAAAGAAAGAAAAAAAGAAAGAAAGAAAGAACAGCGATTACAGACTCACGTGCAAATGCCAGAGGAAACGAACCTTTCTGCGTTTTCTGTGCCTGACTCCCTATGGAAGAAAGACAGAATCATCATTCAGTGACCTTGCACAAAGTTTTCAAAATGGATTAAGGTAAAAGTAAGGCATACAAATTTATGCAGTGACATTTCTGTTATTGAGATTCCTGGGATTTGCCCGGAGCCAACAGTGCAACACGATTACATAGCTAAAATAGGGATCAGATGATTACATAGCTAAATTATGTGTGACCACTTACAATAGACATGTAACACAAAATCAACCATGCCAAATCATTGGTAGCCTACGTGCAGACTCAGGAATTTAAAAGAGGAGAGAAAGTAGAGTCTGCGCAACCATAGTCAATTGAAAAATCTCTGGTCTGGAAGCCCATTGCTCTAACTTTTTGTTTCATTTGAACGATATCACGTGATCAAAATGAGTGCACAACTTATTTTCAACTAAATGAGAGCAAAATATTTTCAACTTATCATCAGGTTATCAAGTATGCTATATTATTAACATGCCTGGAGCTAACTGTGCGTTTAATAAATTTGGAGTGAAAAGAAGAGAAACGTTTTTTTCGAAACGACGAAGGGATATCTTTGATGTGTTATTAAAATATCGTTAAATCGATGCTAATTTTAGAGAAGGGTTGAGGAATGGCAATGTATCTGCGAAAAATATTCTGTCTCTGTTTGAGTAAAGAATTTCTCAATTTTATTTTAGCTCTTATCAAACCTCCTCTTGGTTTTATCAGTCTTTGGGACACAGGCCGTTCTTCAATAAAGCTCTCCAGCAACCTAATTAAAGTCTGGTTAATGTCATATTCATTTTGGGCTGTTTCTTGCTTTTTCAAATTTTTTTGTTCAATCTAGCCGGATAAGTATTGTAGGCAATCAAAATCTTTATCGCTCATCGGCAATGGCTTTTCTAGGGCCAGTTGCTGTGGTCTCCTGAAGAAGCTGTATAATTTGTCACCCAAATGTTTCAACAAAAAGAAGTTAAAAGAGCTGGCTGCACAATTTGGAATAAGAATATTCGCAAACTGCAGAACCGTACAGTAAAAAGAAGAAAAAAGTAGAAAAAAATTGTTCGCATTCCATTAATTATTGTTTTAAAGAATCCATTAAAATGAAATTGGTGATGAAAAATCGCTTTTGGTAGGTCTTATGGATAGCCGCAGCCTGTGCGCAGACCCAATATTTGCAGCTATTTTGTTGCAAATCAGTTTGCGAAAATTTTACCAATTTTATAACATCTGACATATCCAATTGGCGGATAGCCCAGCTGCACTGGCAGCACCGATGTCTTGTTTCTTCTTTGCTTTTCTTGAAGAAACAGCCACTTTTCTTGTTGTGGTGCTTTTTGCAAATTGCACAACTGAGTTCTCTGATACTAAGCCATCCACGTCGGGAAAAAACTCGTCGTTTAACAGTTCATCTAGATTTCTCGACAAAAATTACAAAATCTAAACTATTCGCTGGGTAGACTGCCAGCTGATGCTGTGAATGCTGCATGCGTGTCAAAAGCTGGGACGCTAGAGCCTGTTGTGGCTCCAAAAGCATTAGATTTACCATCAGTAGGTATAGCGGTATAACTTTATTATTTTATTTCGCTACTTCTGTATTAGTAATATTTCATCTTGTTATTGGTTCTCTTCTGATTTTCACTTCAAATTTTAGTCATTACTTTATGGTAAGTATCCAATCAAAATCTTAGTAGCTTCTAAATCTTAAACACTCCAATAGAATACACGACCTCAAGATAAAATCTTGATTGACTCGATAGCTCTTTTTGAGTTTTTTCCATGTAACCTTCAGCCAACAAGTTTACGAGAAAACGTCTATAAAAATTTTCTTATTATTGTATTAATACCCAATATTTTTCCTATTAATATTTCAGTATAATGTGATTAACCTGCTGATGCTTGAAAAAGATTTTGAGCTTTGAGTTTGAGTTTAAGGCTTGTCTGCGCACTTAAACATCAGTATCCGCCATATCAAAATTTGTTTGTGCACTCGTTTTGATCACGTGACCTACGAACAGGCTGGCTTCAAGTCGGCGCGCGAAAGAAAAGGATAAAACAAAGGACTTCCAGACCAGAGTTTTTTCTATTGACTATGGCGCAACAGAGCTGCTTTTCTTGTTCGCTGACATCAGCATTTTATTCTAAGCACTGGAACAGCAACTCCATTAGCGTGCAATGTTTTTCTGTAAGTTTAGTTGTTCAAAAGAACAAACAGACTTATTCTATTATCCTGATACCATTCATTTATACTTTTGCCCGAAGGAGCCAGTTTGAAAAATGAAAAAAAAACAATTGAAATTCCCCCAACCAATCAAATTCGGTTCCTTGATTTTGAGGAACCTGTGAACAAGAAAATCGGCTCGGCTTCGCAGACTCTACTTTTTCTCCTATTTTCAATTTGTCAACAGAATTTGCACGCAGGCTAAATCATTCCGAACCACCCACGTCCACAACGTTAGATTGTTTAAGAAAAAATGTCGACAACAGCGCAGCAGGGCTGTCAAACAAGAGACAACCAAAAGATAAAAAATTTGAATATTCATCAAGCTTTTTTATAAAAAATATAATTCTTTTTTATTCTGTGTCTAGGATAGAAAAAGCTAAATCTCAATAGTGCTGTCTTTGCAACAGAATCATTTAAGCATCTATTAAATATTAAAAAGTTAGCAATATTAGCGTCTAAGATGCATTTATTTTGTCCCGCAAAACGTCTATATGATAATGCATTCTGTGTTTCAAAACAGCGAAATTTGCTAATTATTATTACAAGAAATTTATTTGTTTGGAAAATATCACTTCTAATGTTCAACTCTTTCTTTGCTATGGGAAGCTCTGAACAGTAAACACAAACCCAATAAAGGCACGCTCTTGGTTACTGTGCGCAGACGTCTTTATGTCCACTAATCCTCATAAAAAATACATGAGTTCGTTCATGTCCTATAAACATTTATTGTCTTTACAAAACACATGCAAAAATGTAACAGATGCTTTTTAGAGCAATCATAACAGTGGTTAAAGAAAGGAGAGAGTAACAATAAATTTGCGAACGAAAAATGTTTCCTGATGAACAATGGCATATTGCTTTAAAGAAGAGCACTAGGCTTAAAGACTCATTGCTAACAATGAGCCATTGCGCAACGTAAGCATCCCACAATGCATTTTTAGACTGTCTAAAATCAATTTCGGTTAACCCGTAGAAAATTACTGCCATTGTTTGGACCGTAGCCACGCTCGCAAAGACCCATTGTTAGCAATGAGTCTTTAAAAAGTGGCTAAGATGTGGCTAAAGAAGAGGCCTTGGAAATTCCTTTCCCGAAAAGACTGCCAAAAACGTACATATCAAATTATATTCCGGTGCAGAGGTTGGTTTTAGAAGATCATCAGCATCTGCCATTCTTTAATTTGCTGTCGCTTGAAAATTAATCTTTACTTCCTTTAAGTTGTATTGTGAAATTCAGCTCAATTTTTCTTTGATATATTCAACTGAAAATTCTCGCAGCTTTACAAAGTAAAGCTAATATAAATTTCGCAAAGTTTACTTCAAAATAAACAATTCTTTTGTGAAATCTAACTAGAACTTAAATATTTTTCAATTAAAATCCGTTGCAATACGAGCTTCTTCTCAAACCTCAGCGACATTGCCACTACATTTTTCTAGCGAAACAAAGACCGTGAAACGAAATTCTTCTAGCAACACGAAGAAGTGCCCGGAGGTTAATACGAGGTTTTCATAACTTGAATGCCTATGCTTATGCAAATACCTGAACAGGAAAAATCAGACCAGAAAGTCAATGGTAACATTTTGTAACATATTGGCTAAAAGCTTCTTCGTCTGACACTCCTAAGAGCATCAAGGTCAAGCACAATCATATGAATTAGTATGTTGTCTAGTACACTCAGAAAACCCCAAGGGTAATCAAGGCAAAAAACTAAGACAGATATCTGACACTTCTGATTGACTAAAAGTGACAAAAAGGAGAAGCGAAACAATTAAGAACTATTTAAGATGAAAATTGTCATAATTTACCTTTGGCAGCATTTGCAAAATCTTCCATCCGATTTATTCTCAGCTTTGACATCGGCAGTACTCTCCGGAGATACAGTAGACGAACATCCCCCCATGGACTAGAAGAAATATAATTATATTTAAAACTAAAAAATCTTTGGTACCGAAAAATGTGAAGAATATACTATAGCGGGAAGATACTATACTAAAGTACGTCTCGTCCGACATTCCTTAGATTTCTGCCTCCTTTTGGTCACTATTCGACATTTATACACTTCGGAAAATCGGCCAAATGTATTTTAGTACGCTATGTTTCTGCGTTTCCATGCTTTCTGCAAACATTTACAAGATATAACGCAATAAATAATAATTAACTTATCAATTGTAAGAAATGAGTTCTGCATAAGCGTCAAAAATTGTTGGTTTAATCGTCGCAAAATTTAGAACTGGTCTAAATACCACGAAATGAATATAACGATATTGATGATGATTGATTGTGATTCCGACTATTATGATGACGATAATAATAAGAAAACGACAATGACGACTGTCGCTAATTTTGATTATCGTTATGATCATGATCATGCTTACAATACGACGGCGATCATGATTATGATGCAACTTATTACGTCATATGGATTTTAAACATTGCTATTGAAGTTAAAACTTGATAGACAAATAAATAATCTAATAATTAGGGCAAGCTGCAGCGAATTTTAAAACGTATTATAACTTCATAATCAACAGCTGGGAACGTCAGCAAATTTATTTGTTATGGATGTAAAAAAAAATCAGGGGACGCGAATCGAAAGTGTCCAAATGACCATAATGTCCAATGAAAAACTAGTTAGGCAGTTGCAAATATAATTGCAAATATAAATCTTCTTGGACAATATTTGACTTACTCAGAAATCGAGCACATACTCCAAAATTCGAGGTGTGTCGACATAAGTCAATTCGACTTAAGGGAAGAGCATGTTAAAAGATGTACGTGTCTTGAGCTTTAAACCATGTTTTCAAGCAGATAATAAATTTCTGCAACAATTCTGATGAGGCAAAAACGAAAGTAGGTAAAAAAAGTGTTCAAAGAAACAAAGAGACGACTGTTCAAAGAAATTTAATACTGGTCTTCCATTGATGCTGCGTCATGGTAGCAAGCTCGTTAGATCATGTTTGAAGGCACCACAACAAACGTACAGAGCTGCCTCTATATGCAAATTGCCGTTGATCAACTTTACCTTAAGTGCTTCAGGGTTTTTTCATCTCTTAAAAAATCATGGTTCTGATTGCAAGATTATTTGTTCCAATTGAAAATATTTCCTGAAAGTTAGCATTTATCAGTTAGAATTATCAATTAACTATAAAATTGTTTGTCTTCCATTATTAGTGTTTTTTTAACTTATCATAGCTAGTACTTAGGTTTCTGATGGGATATCGTCTTGAAAAAAGAATTTAATAAAAAAATAGTCTCAAGATCGCGCGGGCGGCATGCTGCCCGTCCCTGTCCTAAGGCAGGTCCATAATAGCGGTCTGATCTTCACCTAGCCGCACCTTTTATGCTACCATATTTGTTGAACAAGTCTCATATTTAGGCCAAATCTGGATAATCACGAAACTATAATAGATCCACTCTAAGCAATTATTTGACAAACCGCTAAGCATCGACAGGTCCTGCAGCATGAATCACCGCTCATGTTAGAAGAATAGAGAACCTGTTAGCAAAGTGCTTAAGAATGACGTCAAATCCATTCATTTCAACATATATTCTAAGATTGCATACTGAGAACTAAAGATCAGGATTAGGGTTGATTTAACTTTTATATGAATACCCAATTTTTCTCTCAGTCTCAATATTCTCATCTTTTTTATTAAGAACCCACGATTATTCTTAAATCATTCTAAAGCGTCACAAAGCCGGATACGTCCATTTCAAAACATCTAGCGTGAAACTCTTGATGAAGCTTGAGCCTTGCATTAATTTAGTTTTTAAATTTTAGCGATTTTGAATATTCATTCTGCCCCTCCCCACCGCAAAGAGCACGGCCTAGGTCAAGCGCGAGCAAGTAGCAGAAAGCAAAATTACATCAGTCTCACTGAAACTAGACGTGATAATAGCGTCCCATTCCAAATATTTTTACTGGCCTAAGTATTTAAAATTCATGACCGTGCGAATCAAGACTTGTGAGCGAAGTTTTGCCTTTAGAACTAGATTGAAAACGTTTTTGAAGAAAGAAAAATGTCGATAATCTATTCAGCACATATGTTCGTCTTCCGAGTCCCTTTCTTTTTATCTATTTTCATTATTTTTATATATACCGGGTCTTTATGTTAATTTATAATTAGGTTATTTTAAGCATAGCACATTGTCAAACAGTGATGAAAATATACAGAATGTATTTACCCTGTCGAAGCAAATCAATATGAACGAGCGAATGAAAGTGCAGAAGACAGGAAGGGTCGCCACAATTACATAGATATCATAAGGTGCACTATTATGTGCAAAAACGTGCCAAATTTGAAACCTGATGCTTTCCTTGTTTGGTTCATTACTTAAATTCTATACATCAGCAGACTTCCAATACATATGCAGATTTCCTAAAAAGAATCTGTGACATCAAATATACGGTTCGGCAAAGCTTTCCAGCAGATTTCCAAACAATACTACCACTAGATTAAAAGAAAATCAATACAATCTCGATTTCATTAAGAGGATTGCGAAATCCACCATTCTTTTCGTATGCAGGTGCTGAATTGACGTTTGCCAATGACGGATTTTCCGTATGCCTTCAAGACTTAAAAAGCTCGCTCCAAATTATGACAACAAACCTTATGAAAGATTTTAAATCTGAAGAAAACTAAACGGGGCTTAACTGCTGCTTTACAAAACACATACGGATAATTAATGAAGATTTTTATTAATCGGACGGATGCAGAATGCTCGATCGCGTATGGCATTAATTCTTTCTTGAGTTGATAGGCAGACAACTTATCTCGAGTCTGAAAACAACGTCCAGCACTTATTGGTTTTTGGAAAAAATTGTCCACCCAGAACTACCCTGGGTACCAGAGCCACAAAATTTCGAGCATGTAAACAAAAAATCAAGCGGAAAAGCGGAGGAGCATCTAGCTGAGAAGAACGTCCTTCTTCACCGAAAGAGGGCTCCTCCTCTTCTTCACTTCTATCATCTAATTTCCGCGCTCAAACTTTTGTGGCTCTGGTACCCAGAGTAACCCAGAACATCCTTATTCCAGATCCCTTTTATTATTTTCCAGCCTCGCATGTAAAGAAACTTGAGAAAACATGCATTTGGCTTTGTTTACAGTTGAACAGCCTTGCGAAAGCCAAACGTAGCCATCGCGGAATTCTAGACTCGCTGTATATTGGGATTTGGTATATTCTCAACCTATTCCAGACCCCCTATATATTTCTGACTCGAGAGTGGTAACAGTGATCACATTTTACTAGTTACATGTTTCTTGATGATCGCATTAAAATGACACCTCGGTAGCAACTTAGCACCATCCTGTTCTAAATTTCACGAAGGGCTGCTTTGCGAATTTCTGGTCTCGGGCGACATGCAGAAAAGTCTGTAGGTGCCTGAAACTAACCTCGATTCAGTTAAATCCCCCCGTATAACAAGCCGGATAAAAACAGTCCCAGATGAAAAAGCTCCTGAGCGTGAGACTGCAATATGACCTGTCCTCGCTGAATTGGCCATGTGAGAAAAATATTACTGCATGATCATACCATATTGATAACAAACATTTTCATTTGCTGCTACCTAGCTTCCAAAGGAAGTTGTTAGAAATCTTAACCTTGTCGCGCAGTGTCCTGGTTCTCACTCACACCTTGTGACTCCTACACCTGGAAACACACAAAGCAGGCGACTATCCTCACTCTAAACGAAAGTATCGTTTCGTCAATGACTCGAATCACATACCTTATTGACCTATAGTTTGCAAATCTAACCACTTATAAATTTACGCAGTTGAACAAAGTCTATATCTTGCCTTTCAATAGATAGCAATGGTTGCGCAACGGCCTCAACACAAAAAAAACCAAAAGGACTGAATTTATGACACCTGACATACTATTTTTCTAACATTAAAACAAATTTCTCAAGAATCAGATCAAAATGTCCTAATTCTTATTACAAAATGCACAATAAAATCAACGCTTTAGATAAGACCTCAAAAGATAAAGGAAGCGTTGATTCTGACAAGATGGAAGTTCTTGAAACAGAGATAACAAACGGCATTTTGGAAAACCAAACCGTTAAGCTAAGATGCAACGATTTAGTGCTCTTAAGTTATGACGATACAAAAATTTAATCATGAACCTTTGAAATCAGAAACAGTATTATGAAATATTTCTAAATATGCGAAATCGGTTAAATAATTACAAGTTGGTTGAAGTATGGTCGCATGAGCACAGGGTCTCGGTTCAAAACTTTATGAATCAAGCCTAAATAACAGCATTCCGCTAAAAAATCCAAATCTTTCATTGGCCACACCTCACTCATTTTCAAACATACTTAAATGATTTTGCATACTAAGAGGTATTTCATGCTTTTTCTTTTAGTTTTTAGGTTTAGAAGTCGAAAATTCAACAAAAACATCCTTGGATGAAATCTTACTGTAAAATGCTCAATACAAAATTACTGAAAAACCTTCGATAAAAGCAAGGAATTGTTCCAACGTCTCCAAACGCAAGAAAACTTAACGGGGCTGAGAAGAGAAGTTTGTTGGAAGCATGTTTGTGAATGGTTTGCATGGGAGACATGTCTAGAGGTGATAGGAATAGCCCGAGATTAATGATAATCATACCAATTGAATTGGTCAATACATGGATGACATGTTCGCCACTGATGTCTTGAAAAATGCAAGCCAAATCGTCAAAGAATAGTTAGGAGTTAGGACAGCGGTTGAAGTCTATAGGAAAACGTTATGCTAATGGTAAAGGTCACAATGATAGTAAAAATACTAGTTAAAATATATAACATAATATCAAAAATATAAATTAAATATTACAACAATAGTTGAAGAACCAGTGGCTCGTACTATTGGTTTGAGAGAACAAAATATTACAGAAATTGTTAAAATCATGGTAGCGTTTAGAGGTTGATAATAATGTCTGAAGATTACGGTTACGGTCTCAGATTACGGTTGCGGTTACGGTTAACGATAACAGTAATGGTTAAACAATACAGCAAACGTTTAAGCTTTGTGAAACAGTTAAATGGTGATGTCAGTTTCAGCAAAATAGTGATAACTGTTACACACGCCAGTCAAAATCATGACATAAACGGTTTGTGAATGTGCGTTGAGACTATGAGATTATAAGTATGTTTGTGCTGCTTGCAGTAGCTAGTGTACCTAACCACGCGTGAACAGCCTAGCAACGATATATGTGGTTGGTTTAGAAAGGAGCCTAAGAACGGTTAACAGGTGGGAACATAAAATAAACGTATGTTCTAACAGTTTAACCGATTTTAACAAGATAGAGCTGGCAACTTTAACGCTTATGAATACCTCAAAGAAAACGCACAATTCACGGTGGTTGAGCTCCTTTAAATGCGTTGATGAGTTAGGCCAGTATTCAACTGTGAATCTAAATAGCATAGACTTGGTTGATGATTCACTACTGGGACAGCAAGCAAGAAAACATCCCAAGTAAACGTTGCGCATAGAAGTACAATGTCATTTATGGTCGTTTCATGGCCAAGCATCATAACGCAATTTCTTCTATGCTTGATTTAAAAACTGTATCTTAACGCAATAGAGCTAAGTAGAGAAAACTGAGACAGCAAAATGTAGATGGAAAGATGAACATCAAATAAAATCACAATTTGGCAACGCTGTTATTCCATGTCGACGGCTGTAAGAACAAAAACCAATTCAAACACTGGTTAAGTAATTAAGGGTGCTTTAAATAATTTGGGCTCTCAACCTAACGAATGCAAGATGAATTGAAAAAAGAGCAAACCTTATCTAATATGATCATGCCAAACAGCACCACATCATCCAGGAATCTCTATTACTCGCTTTCGTAAACAACAAGAATTCCAAGGCTCAAAAACTGTTTAAGATATCAAGCATCTTTCTTCATTCTCATACAACTCCGCTAAACCTTCTGACCTGCTCAATACAGTACAATCCGGCTAAGATCCAACGAGACCGAAAAACTAGCATTGTTTAGTATACGTAGCTGAAATGTCTCCATGGAGACGCAGAGTAAACCTTGACAGGTGCTTTGGTGTCCCTTCTTTAAGCAAGAAATTTCAAGAAGAGAGGAGAAGCAGGTGGACATATCCGGGGGTGTACAATACAACATTATTCAGGCCCAGATTTGTCATCATTGCTAGCCGTGGTATCCATTGCAGGACGTAAAGGAAACTCAACAAAAATTGCGTTCCGGTTGATCAAGACTATCAGCATGATAATTGCTATTGAAATAATCACGATCACTTCAGTGAACAAAACTGCGATCAGAAGATAAGTCAACATCATAATCAGGATCATCACGATCACCATAAATATTACCAACATAATAATCATAATTATAACTATCACAGACATGATCTAATCATATTGATTACCGCTATCAATGGCCAGTAAATATGTCGCCTTTCTAGCAACACGTGAAACAATACAACCACAAGTAGATAACAAAGATTATTAAACTTCCCCACCCAATTTTTAAAAGCCTTCATAACGATAATAGATTAGTGAAAACATCATTTTAGAAAGTTGGCCTACTGCAACATTGTCACCAATTAAGTAGAAGAAAATTCAGTTCTAAGTGAAGAATCAGTTTTTAGTCTTTACTCAGATGAAGCCCTGTATACCGGGGCGAAATATTAGTATTCCTTGAATTTAATTTATTTTGAAAATTTTATCTCATTACATTGGATTCTCGTCGTCATATTGCTTTGTTCCTGAATATCTTTCGTATTATTACTCATTGCAAGATTCACAAAATCCGGCGGACAGCCTATCCTGCGGCTCTTCCTTCTTACACAAAAAGCAAAATGTTCACAAAAAATGGGTATATTCATAACCAAAAAAATATCTTCATATCTTCGTAACAAAGCATCATTATTCAGAGGTACTTTGTCGAACATTTCCGACAGTAAAGATACCAGGAAGCAGTCAATTGCAATTTGAATGTGTTATCAAAAGATTACAGAAAGACTTTGGCTCGCTGCCTTCATCACTTTTAAGGCTGGTTCTCATATAACGTATTTCGACGCATTTCATCGCAATTCAGGTTCCACGATTTTCACGTTATATGAAAACCGAAAAACGTATTTCATCTTAATTCATCGTAATTCAACAGTTTTTGTCGGTAGAAACAAAATTGTTTGATTTCTTCCGATGAATTACGTTGAATTACGTTCTATTAGGATTATTTACGATAGGTGGTTTTCATAAAATTTGGTCGGTTTTCATATAACGGAAAAAATCTTAATTGATCGTAGACTCTGAATTGCGATGAAATCGTCGAAATACGTTATATGAAAACCAGCCTTAATAGAAGAACCTTGCGAAATATGGTTTTTATCAGGAAGCGATAAAAATGGCAAGCTTGTATTTTGAAACAAATTGAAGCTCTGTGAAAAAAGCCCAAAAAATTTAAGATAAGACGCATTTTGTGTTCACAGCTGTTGGATTAGCTGCACGATTTGCTCACTTGTACTGACATTAAACTGAAGTTTTCTATGTATGAAGGTGATCACCAGGTGTATAAAATCAAAGATTGAAAACAAGGCTTTGTGCTAGAAATCTTGTAGCAAAGTCACCTCTGTATCTCTGAGGTGTTGTTTCGATGAGATTTCGAGGCCCTGCAACATAAAAAATGAAAACGAGGCGCTGCATGGATGGGATCATTGTGTTTCTTGTATTCGAAATGGCGATTCTAACGGACGGCTGTTGAACGACCGACACTTTTTAAAGGCTCTAAATACCTAACGACAAGACAGCGCGCAATTTCTGTGCAAGATAGAAATGCTAAGAAATGATAGAGTGTTGACAACCGATTTCAATCAAGCACCAAGCAAACGGTTTGTACCGACCAATAAGATCATTTTCTTACTCCTCCGTAGAGACAGAGGGATGAAATCTAAATCAGGAACGAGCAGAGAGCTGGGAACGACAGCAGATAAATAAAATATTATGACTAGAATGGAGAACCATTTCAAAAGCGTGAATTGCAAACCACATGGGCAGAGAAATTTTGGTTAATCACGGTCAACAGATGGCTCACTAGAAAGACATCCGGTTACCTGCAAAGTATGATCAACAATATAAAATTGAAATCCCTGATACAGCTTCTTCGTGTTATCAAGTCCAATTATCATTTTATAGGATATACACTCATTTTGTTATAAGAAACAAAGGTCGATTTTCAGTACTCCAGTTTCTTGACGTTCAGGAAATTTCAATATTCATTGTTTCTTAAGAGTTTCTTAATTATGATATCATGAATGGTGTTATGCAAGGTTCGTGATCTTTTTTATCACGTAAAGAGATTCGCTTCCGTTCAGATGCTGATGTGGGAAGTATAATTCTATCCCTTGTGTCTTAAGTTCTAGGCCAACAGGGCAATCATGTTCTTGGAGTTTACTAAATTTCGTTGTTCTCAGTTTTACCACGATTTAATAGTTTCGATTTAATACTCGTTTCTTATAGGCAGTTTCTTATGAAAAGTGAGTGTATTCTGTCCTTTAACTCCAGAGTAATCAAGATATTTGAGCGCGAAAGGCGACTCGAAAATAACGTGCGACTCGTGGGTTAGGATAGCGATCGACTGATTATAACAAAAAAGAACTATACGTATTATACACATGTGATTATGAGGTTAAACTATTACGAGGTTATACGAAAATTAAGCCTAAAAAAGTCAGCTTCACCCACTTTGCTCAATGTTGTTATGGTCTGGTTAAAAAATCCAAATAGACTAAATTACTGTGATCTGATGGGGGGAAAGTATATGTACTCATTCATCACGGCCCCATAGTCACTGCCTGGAGGAAGGTTGTAGAAGCAAAAGAAAATTAAGGAAGATGGCCCGAAATTTGGAAACTTGTAGAAATTTGTATTGTCTTTTGCTTTCAAAATACTAGCATAAAAAATGGAGAAAAAATCAAAATTAAGTTCAAAACTCCTGTTTTTTAATTTGAATATGTTTCCAGAACTGCTTTGCTCTGTAAAATGTAGGCATCAACTTTTCATAACTTTTAGCTTTGAATAATGACACGCTCCTGTTATCAATCGACAAAACCTTTTACTTTAAATTGGTCTCTAAAAATATCTATAATTGAAAAAAGCTACAAAATTCCTAGAAAAGTTTTTAGAAAAAAGGTTGCCAGGCGAAGAGATCAAGACTAGTTGAGTAACAGGTTCTATGACCACGCCCACTTTAAATCCAATAAAAGGTTGACAACTTCTCTGGTTGACAACGATTTGACACAGGCCCAAGCCAATTTATAATAGACTTAATTGGTGATATACAACCTTACTTGACCATACAAATAATTAACAAAAAGTGCACAGAAATAACAATGGTTAAAGATATTTTCATTAAGATTGGTGGAATCTTGAGGATACTATATAACTTATTTCTTTTATATCATATTTTATCATATATAATAATCTATTATATCATATAGTTTAAAATACATTATATCATAAAGTTTATTATATCATATACTATACTACTATACTATATACTAAACACCTTATACACTAAACTATCTTAAACTATACTATATAATGTAATGATATATTGTTTAATGAGATGATTTAAACCACCGTATATTATATCAAATATATTATATCACAACGGAGTTCTTGCTTTACTGTCAATGGTTTTTTGTTGGATTACCTTCACAATGTTACTTTGATTCACTGTGGCTTGTGTTTCTGTAAGTACTCATTGCTCTATACTGACCTAACTATTAATAATTCATATTTTCTTACCACCCTGGTATAATATAAACCAAAAAACGGCTTCGACAAATGAAATTTCTAGTGCTAACTTCATAATCTGCATTTTTCCATTTCAATTATAAAATTTTTTCTAATTCATGATCGAACAGAAAAACTCTTTTGTTACGACGCTACAAAAGTAAACAAAAGTAAAGTTCCGCGCTGAATTTACCGACTTGAGTCCAAACTTCAAGATCCCAGCTCTACTATCATAGTGGCTAAAAAAACTTTATACAGTCAGATAGACTACAAATATTCACAATCTGGCGACACAGTAGAAAAGAGCGCCATGTTTAGCATAATTTTCAAAGCAAAATTTATCAAAAACTGAAGAAAATTTAATCGAAACAAATTCATACCGAAATTTGCTTGCTTGTAGACGGTATATCAGCACATATCTGTCAGTTACCGACTCAGTCCAAACACGAATATATCTGTATCTCAGAGGCTGAACTGATGTGGACTTTTCTCGTTACTTCGTGACACGATCTTCTAAGAGATGGAAACACAAAAGCTTTTTACCAATATTACTAGATAATACTCGACAACGTCAAATGCATCGCATTCAGAGAACCCCAAATATTAGTTGGCAACCACAATGACGAGCTGAAGCAGAGGTCGATTCGATTGAGAGTCAAAAGGGCCGGGATTTGCTGACCAAACACGAAGTAATGTGTTGCTATTACCAAGGCAACTAACAAAATACCTGTTATTAAGAAATGCCCGTGAAAATTGTTTACTTAACAGGTGGCAACTTTATTAATTCTAAACAAGGCTGCAAAAGAAATTAAGACACAGAGTATTCGCTTAGGATTTAAGGCGTTAAAAAGAGGACATGGTCTGCGATATTCTAACTAAATGCTGCTCCGCAAAGGCATGCACCAATGACTTGCTCCCAGCTACAAAAGATGTAAGATCGATCGAATCTCTAACGCAAGTTTAAAATGGATGGGCGGGCGAGTGAAAGGAGGCAACTACAAATAACAAACAAATCGCAAAATATTTCTATCTTCATATCGGCTTCAGAAAAAAAGGGTTCAAAAAACCTCTGAAGGGCATAAAGTATTTGACTTAATTTCTGTTGCAGCCAATAAAGGTTTTGATTAAGGTCAGAGTTCTGAGCGAAGTTTTTTTCAAAGAAAAGCGTCGCCTGGACTGCAGGGCTTACTTCGATCGAACAACACACCATCCGATGGTTCAAGATCCGAAATTAAGGCTGCCTTATATACGCCATGTATCTCTTTGATAACTTCTATCTCTTTGAATCATAACTCCAAGATGTTTAGTTTTATAGACAATCTCTACTTTAGTTTACCCAATAGCAAAACAATGGGCCTCGGATACATCGTGGGAAATCGTCTTCTGATTTGGTCGAGATCCAACAACAATTGCACGAGTCTTAACTTAATCAAGTTTAGGGCAAGTTGTTACCTTGAAACCATTGTGTCAGAAATTTTAGGTCATTAATTTAGTTGCATCAATCTGCATACATGGTGACATCGCCATTTCGCAGACAATATTTTGCAGACAGGCAATTGTTGCAGATGAATCAGAAACAAAAGTACTAAATCAAGATAAAACTCTTACAAATCAAAAATCTCGTAATATCTTGCTATGCAACAATTGAAGGTTAGGAAATGTGAAACCAAATAAATTAATAAACTCTGACATCAATTTGATCAAAAACAAATCTTTCATCTCCAAAAGCAGTTTCCTTAACTTCACCGCCTCATTCGACCACGAAAACTCTTCAGAAAAACTCAAGCCACAAAAATAAATTGTGGCTGACACGCCATCTGGCCTTTCACCAGTAATATAGCCTGACCCCCCAGATTAGCGAGGGGAGGGGGGGTGGAGCGTAATTGGTAGAAGAGTTTACAGACAGAATAGGGGGTGGAGGGTCATCAGTTTAGGTGCTTTTCCACTTACTGATAGACGACATTACCAACAAACCATGGATTTTTTGGACCAACTCAAGGTTTACCGACAAACTCATGAAGAAATAGGGGTCGCTCAGACAATTTGTGGATTCGCTTAGACAATTTGTGGATTCGCTTAGACAAGAAAACCAACAGACAATTTGCGGATTACCTCATGCATAGGAATGGACTTCCAGGGGCGGCAATTGAACAAGCCCGAAGGCAAACCACAGGGTGGAGCGGACTTAGATGTCACCGAGTAAATGTTTTGGAACACATCTAACACAAGAATCTATTTGTCGAAATTGTTAAATTTTTATCGTAAAATTTGAAACCAAAGAAACATCGAGAATGGCAAAATCAGTTCAATCTATTACGGGTGAAACGCAGTTAGCGGGTGCAATGCAGTCAACTGACGCAATGCAGTCAATAGGCACAACGCAGTTAGTGGGCGCAACGCAATCAACGGGCGCAATGCAATCAACAGGCGCAACGCAGTCAGCGGATCCGGTGCAGTCAGCGGGTCCGGTGCAGTCAACGGATGGAACGCAGTCAACGGTTGAAAAGTAGAAAATGGATGCAAAGCAGTAAATTGGCATAACGCAGTGAGTGTGCGCGATGCAGTTAATGGGTGCAACGGAATCAACAGTCGAAACGCAGTCAACGGGTGCAACGCAGTCAACGGGCGCAACACAGTTTCCTGGTCGAAACGCAGTCGACAGGCGCAACGCAGTTGACAGGCGCAATACAGTCAACGGGTGCAACGCAGTCAACAGGCGCGAGGCAGTTGACAGGCGCAACGCAGTCGACAGGCGCAACGCAGTCGACAGGCGCAAGGCAGTCGAAAGACGCAACGCAGTCGACAGGCGCAACGCAGTCAACAGGCGCAACGCAGTCAACAGGTGCAATGCAGTCAACAGCTGCAACACAATAGACAGACGAAAGCTAAAGAACAACTGCACAATAGAAAAGACCCTGATTTACGGGGACAAAGCAAGCGAGAGAGATTTTCTGAAATAGCTTTTTTAGAAGTCGACTGACAACAAGACAATAAAACGCAAACATAACTTTCTTTGGTGAACCAGTCAAAATTATTCCGATAAAAATTTTTATGGTATACTAGATCTCTTTTAAAAGAACGGCGTGCTAAAAACAAGTGCAGACTGAGAAAAATGCATAATGGATCGCGCATTATGAATGTAAAATTCTGCGAGTTCAAAGCCGTCTGGAACAGATTTGATGATTCAATGAAATTATGACAAAAGAGCGGCACACCAAACAGTAAAAAATCTTTATTGAACTTTTTATGCAATAGAGAACATGAACAATTTATATTCTTTGATACATATTTTAATTGCAAACAGCGTTTGACACCAATTTCGGGAGCAAAATGGCCCGATTATTCTTTAGAAAGCTATGACTCTGGACAAATAATATCGAGACTTTGCCATTGTCTCCCGCAGCACTGTGATATTTTAATACTCAGGGACAAGATCTTATGTATTTTTTTCTTATCGTGCAAATGCTCGGCCAACTTTTACTTACAAATGTGGCAGTATATGAATGCTAATAGCGATTAAATATTAATGCAACAAATCAATCTCTAAGACCTTGTCTCAAAGTTTCTAGAATTAATACACGGGCAGATTTTCTTCAAATTTCTTTAAATAAAAGTTATCAAGTACCCAACGATAAGACCCTCTGATACATGTAATTGGTCCTTAACAACTCTTTTCATTCTATCAAATTTTGTATTTCCTAGAAACCACTTGCTTCAGTCCCCTTATAAAAGCGAAGATATAAAACATTTCAAAACGCTGCCGTTGAATGCAAACTGCATTAAAAGGAACCGCGGAGCAGTGGGGTTGGAGGGACTCATTTCCCAATTTTCGCAAAAAATGCAAAATACTAAGAAATGAACCACCAGTAAAGCCTCTTTTTATTTGGTCTTAGCCCAGCACTTTTTTAGACCCCGCCCCCATGTTTCTCAATACTCCGCGGTGCCTACATTTTAAGTACTTTTCTTACAAAAAAACTCTTCTCTGAGTTTAAAAAGTCAGATAAAGATCTAGAAACAAAAATAATGTACTAATGCTAAAAATACTGATAATTTGCTGTCTAGGATTAAAGCAGGGTGCAACTTGATTTACCATGAATCAAACCATATTCTGTACCACTACGGAATGTTGGTCAGGACGGGTTTCCGTCTGGCACACGCAAGTGACCAGAAGCAGATCGATTAATTTTGTATCTGCAGAAAGCCACTGGCTGCCTATACCAAAGCGGCCCCAATGGCGCGTTGATTTGGTTTCCTAGACTCTTTATGCCAGCACAAACTAATTTTTTGAATATAGACAGGAATTTTTGCATTCAAAATTTTTCTATAAAAGAGTATTTCATTGCAGGCATTCTTGATCACATAGAGAATTTTGCAAGCATTCTCTTAATGGCAGTCGATTCACATCAAACTGTGCAATTTAGTATGAAAGAACATCCCAAGCCCCTGGAAACTGGGCAGCTAAATATTATGTTGGGAAATAAAAAAGACCCTGAACTGCATAGGTGACAAGAAGCAAAAAAAGCTTTCTTTATTTGGAAGCAAAAATGAACTAAAGGAGAGCCTTTCCTCGCTATCTATGAAAAGCGTTCTGAGTGAATGTCTAGTTGTTGTGTCTTTCATGGTTTGTCCGTGTTATGGAAAGGATTAGTGTTGACAAATTGCTTGTTAGAATGATCCATAAGTTGATAGAGAATTAGAAGACATGTTTGCCTGTGGAAAAGGACCCTAATTATTTATGCAAAGTGAAATAAAGTAATGAAAATATTTAAATATTTTTTTTCAAAACAGATCTAAT